CTCCTTCTTCTCCTCCTCCTTCCTCCTTCTTCTCCTCCTCCTTCCTCCTTCTTCCTCCTTCTTCTTCTCCTCCTCCTTCCTCCTTCTTCCTCCTCCTCCTCCTCCTCCTCCTTCCTCCTCCTTCTTCTTCTCCTCCTTCCTCCTCCTTCTTCTTCTCCTCCTCCTCCTTCCTCCTTCTTCTCCTCCTCCTCCTTCCTCCTCATCCTCCTTCTTCTCCTCCTCCTCCTTCCTCCTTCCTCTTTCTTTCTTCTTTCTTTTTTTTTCTTATACTTGCAGGTCACGGCTCATGCGCAGATTTTTTTAATCAGTAAAACGATCGGCCGATTTGCCCATCATTGCAGGGAAAATCGGCTGATCGGCAAAATCGGCAGATTTTTTTTTCTAACTTTACCGATAAAAAAAAATGTGCCAAAACACCGAAAAACGGCCGACCAATTAACTCACTAACAGTGCGAAAAATTGGCCGATTTTCGACCCGTCTATGGCCTGCATAAAAGCTGTGCTGTGTTGGCAGCACAGCGGAGAGCCTGACTGCTGTTCTCTCACAGGGTGTAGCGGTCCGACACTCCAGTGCACATTGCTCCACCAACAATACTCACACCCTCGGAGTCGCATTGTCGATTTTCTCTGCTGTGTGAGATAAGACAGAGGCCCCCAATGGGGAAATAACAGGGTCTCTGCTCATACACTTAAATGCATATCTAAGCCACAAAAACAAAAATGTATCAAACTGCAGCTAACCAGTTCATAAAGGCTGCATGCACACCACCTTATATTTAAAGTGATAGTAAAGCCACTTTGTTATTTTTTTACCTATGGATGAGCTTATAATAAATCTTACCTGTAGGTAAAAGGAATATCTCCTAAACGGGCCCCTTTAAGGAGATATATATATTTTTTTTTAGAGCCAGCGCATGAACTCTGAAGGAACGGCATACCCATGCTGTTCCTTCAGAGCACTGAGCTGTGTCCTGCCTGAGACTCCTGTGCACATGTGCAGGAGTGACGTCATCATGGTTCATCCACTCAGACGGGCAGACCTTGCAAACTCACAAAGAAGACCGGGTAAAGATGGAAGCCTCTACAGTGGCAGTGAAAGCGCGCCGCTGGAGGGCTTCGTTTTACCCCCGTTCACATATATGCGGCCCTGCGGGAGCGTTTTGCACGGGCATGAGAGCCCATTAATTTGAATGGACTCCCGTGACACGCAGGGAAGAAGTCCCTGCACTTCTTCTGAAAATGCAGCCCGCACGGAAACCTCAGTTCTCAGTACGGTTGCGTTTAACAGTGCGGACGGCGTGCCATTAGAACTAATGGCACCCACCTGCGGGTCCGCATTCCTCTGTGCGGGTGATTGGCTGCACGGATTTTCCTGCGAATCTGCAGCGGCACGACCTGCACAGATTTGAACCAGGGCTTAAGGTGAGTTTTACATAATGTGCTAGTATGTGATGACCACAGGACGTTATCAGCAGCATGAACAAGTGTTTTCTGTGCTTGTCGGATATAACAAAACAGTTTTTGCTTTTATATTTAACGGAACAAAAGGGAGCAAAGAAGAGCACACGGCCATGTTATCGTATGTAGAACCCCCCTTGCTGGCAGCAGAATCCTGTGCAAAATCTTGTACATACACTGTACACAATTGTACTAATATGTATATGCATACAGTACAAATGAGGGCACGGGTGGCTCCTGCTGCCTAGTGTCCTAGGTTGTTAGGGAGAAGGCAGCCCCTGCCGCTTAGTGTGCTGCGTTGCTCAGATGAAGGCAGCCCCTGCCGTCTAGTGTCCCAGATTACTGAGGTTCAGGCAGCCCCTGCTGCCTACCATCCAAGGTTGCTAGGATGCAGGCAATGCCTGCCACCTAGTGTCCTAGGTTGCTAGAGTGAAGGCAGACCCTGCTGTCTAGTGTCCTAGGTTGCTTGGAAACAGGCAGTATCTACCACTCATTGTCCTTGATTGCAAGGATGCAGGCAGTCCCTGCCCCAAGTGTCCTAGGTTGCTCAAATGCAGGCAGATCTTGCCGCCTAGTGTGCTAGGTTACTAAGGTGCAGGCAGCCCCTGCTGCCTAGTGTCCTAGGCTGCTAGGGTGCAGGCAACCCCTGCTGCCTGGTGTCTTAGGTTGTTAGGGCAAAGGCAGCCCCTGCCGCCTAGTGTGCTGCGTTGGTCAGATGAAGGCAGCCCCTGCCGCCTAGTGTCCCAGGTTACTAAGGTTCAGGCAGCCCCTTCTGCCTACCATCCAAGGTTGCTAGGGTGCAGGCAATGCCTGCCGCTTAGTGTCCTAAGTTGCTAGGGTGAAGGCAGACCCTGCTGTCTGGTGTCCTAGGTTTGTTGGACACAGGTAGTTTCTACTACTCATTCGCCTTGGTTGCAAGGATGCAGGCAGTTCCTGCCGCCTAGTATCCTAGGTTGCTCAAATGCAGGAAGATCCTGCCGCCTAGTGTGCTAGGTTACTAAGGTTCAGGCAGCCCCTGCTGCCTAGCATCCTAGGTTGCTAGGGAGCAGGCAACCCTTGCTGCCTAGTGTCCTAGGTTGTTAGGGTGAATGCATAACCTGCTGTCTAGTGTCCTAGGTTGCTTGGACACAGGCAGTTTCTGCCAGCCATTATCCTTGGTTGCTAGGATGCAGGCAGTCCCTGTTGCCTAGTATCCTTGGTTGCTAGGATGTAGGCAGAACCTACCACCAAGTGCCCTAGGTTGCTTGGACACAGGCAGCTTCTGCCTCCCATTGTCCTTAGTTGCCAGGATGCAGGCAGACCCTGCTGCCTAGTATCCTAGCTTGCTTGGAAATGTTAGCACAGTGTTAAATATGGTCCACACACAGGACCATGGGGGCAGATTACAGAGTTGTGTGTATGGGTTCATAGCATACATCTGCATTCAGATCTGTAAGAGCCAGTTCACACCACAGAAACGCAGTCCAGATGCATTTCTGCGTGCACGTTTTTGATGTGTTTTTGCTGCGTTCCGGTGTGTTTTTGATGAGTTTTCAATGCATCTTTCCCCTCTTTTTCCCCAAAGTTTCCTGGGGGATTTTTGCCACATTGCACTACAGTATTTTGCAGAAAAAATCCAGCAAGCTCTGCTTTTTTTTCTACATTAGAACTGACCAGAGTGGTGTGAACTTGGCCATTAGACCCCATATAATCAACTATTCGTGCGTTTTTGATGCAGAAAAAAAAAACTGCATTTGACTGCATCTGCTGTGAACCAGCCCTAAAAAAAAATTGGATCTGATCGCAGAGTATTTTTTACCTGTGTGCATGGGCCCCAGCAGATATTTTGTTCACGGATTATACACCATTACGTTGATAAGATGAATTATTCGCGTGGCCGTAGTTTATGGAGATCGTGGCACAGGAAAAGGTCTTTATAAGAAGTCTCTCTATAGAATATCCCAGACTCCTGAGATTGTGTTGTTCTAGTTCTGTCTGATTATTGGGGCACAGCTCCACTCCACTCCCAGGGTCCGCTATCCGCTCCTCTCGGCAGGAGCATTTGGTAGCACAGCTATTGGCTAACCCTTTCCAGGCTCAGATTTAACAGAACAGACATATGGAGGCCGGGGGCCCGCCAGGACCTGCACTGACTCCTCCAAAACTGATGAGTACAATGACCTTTTAGAAGCTTTCACATTGTCATCCAGTTATTTCTAAAAAAAAATGACCGTAATTAGTGAGAACATATAAAAGATAACTGTAAGATTTTTTTTTTAATTATTTAGTGTATGTGATACATAGAAGTTTAAGTTCATTCTGCTTATATTTTACCTGGTTTCACTGCCCCCCCCCCCCCCCCTCCACTCACACACACATCAACATGCTCATAATATTTAGCAAAACTTTTCAGTTTTTACTATATACCTAAGTTTTTACTAATGTCATCACTAGGTCTCTGTTCTTCTCTATGCAGTGCAGGCAGATCTTGACTGGTGAGAGGGGCTGGCAGGATGCTGTATATAGCTTTCTGAAAACATCACACCACCCTGCCTCAGTACTCCTCCCAAGAGCCCTCAGCCTCGGTGCAAGCAGTGGGCTGTCTTTTGGGAGGAGTTATGCAGATAATAAATGGCCTTTTAGGCTAAGTTCACATCTGTGTGGGTAATTGCCGCTGTGGGAACAGAAAAACAGAAAAAAACATGCTGGATGCATGTGGGTGCGACTATTCCTAATGGCATGCCGTACACACTGAAAATCTCTCCTGCATTGTAAACTGTATGGCACTTGCAGTTCCCGTGCGGGCTACGATTCCAGAAATGGAACAGGAACCTTTATTCCTGCATTTCAGGGCAACCCAGGGGTGGACTGTCCATTTGAAAACACTGCCTGAGGGCCCGGGGTCAGTAGGGGGCCCCATGAGATGCCCCTGGTACCATTTTCATAGGCTTTTTTGAGTTTGGGCAAGGACACAGGGGCCCCATGATCCCCTATTGCCTGGGAGCCCCATGAGTTGTCAGTCCGCCCCTGGGGCAACCCATTCAAATTAAATGAGCTGCCGTGCCCACACAAGACCCAGTTCACAGAGCTTCGTCAATGTGAGCCTAGCCTTAGGGGTGATGTGGGTCTGGAGGAGTGGGCTCTCCTAGGCAGGCTGTATTTGCATACAGGCTGGTCTAGGTAACACCCATATTGGATGCTTAGTGAGAGAACTGAATTCCAATGAATGAAAGGGGCTGACCATGGACAGCCCGGTTGGGGAGTTAGAGGATGTTGGATGTCCTCCAGCCAGGAAATGAGGCCGGCTCTCTCTGACTTGATTCAGCTTCTAATGAACATTGTGAGAAGCTCACAGTGTGCAGTGAAATCAGAGAAAGCAATTGCAGTCCAGGAGAAGAGCCGGTATATAACTGCAAGACTGAAGGGAAGGCCGGAGGTCAGATTTAAAGAAGGGAATGTGATGGTTTTGTGTGTTTTGGAGAAAAATACAGCATCACTGTACAGATATAGAATTGCATGATGGGGCACTCCAGTCTTACAAGGATTCCTCCTTCCTCCTGCAGGTCCAGGCTCAGGTCCGTCACACCAAATCTACTTTCGATAGACTAAAAACAGACGTGTGCGAGAAGGTGGACCTCCTACGTGCCAGCAGATGTAACCTGTTATCCCATGTCTTGGCTTCATACCAGGTACAGACCTTCCATTTTCACGTGTTTTGTAAAATCAACCCCCCCCCCCCCCCCAAACCACAGTGTATGTCCTGCTAGAACTGTTTTCGTTTGCGATAGAATCTCTGTTGGGTCGAGATGTGCACAGAGGAAACATTTGTCTCCTTTCCTATTAGTTTGTTAAAGTAAAAATTTTGTTTTGTCATACTTGTTATGTTAGATTGATTCCTTTTTAGAATTTATTTTGTATATTCGTTATTTTGTAAGTTTGATTTTGGGAAGACCGCTATATTCTTTTTTTCTATTCTATTCTATTAGATTTTCAGAAAATGGACAATTTTTGTTTATTTTATTCTATTCTATTTGAAATTTGAATTTCGGAAGACAACTATATTCTTTCTATTTTATTCTAACCTATTCTATTTTTTTCTATTTTATTTTTATTTTCTATTATATTCCATTATTTTATTTTATATTGTATTCATTTATATTCTATTCTGTAATTTTCTATTCTTTTCCATTTTTTTTTTCTATTTTATTCATTAATTTTCTATTCTATTCTATAATTTTCTATTCTTTTCCATTCTTTTATTTTCTATTCATTCATTTTCTATTCTATTCTGTAATTTTCTATTCCTTTCCATTCTTTTATTTTCTTTTCATTCATTTTCTATTCTATTCTGTAATTTTCTATTCTTTTCCATTCTTTTATTTTATATTGTATACATTTATATTCTATTCTGTAATTTTCTATTCTTTTCCATTCTTTTATTTTCTATTTTATTCATTAATTTTCCATTCTATTCTGTAATTTTCTATTCTTTTCTATTCCATTCTTTTTTTTTTCTATTCATTCATTTTCTATTGTCTTCTGTAATTTTCTATTCTTTTCCATTCTTTTATTTTCTGTTTTATTCATTCATTTTCTATTCTATTCTGTAATTTTCTATTCTTTTCCATTCTTTTAATTTCTTTTCATTCATTCTATTCTATTCTGTAATTTTCTATTCTTTTACATTCTTTTATTTTATATTATACATTTATATTCGATAATTTTCTTTTCTTTTCCATTCATTTATATTTTCGATTCTGTAATTTTCTATTCTTTTCCATTCTTTTATTTTCTTTTCATTCATTTTCTATTCTATTCTGTAATTTTCTATTCTTTTCCATTCTTTTATTTTCTATTCATTCATTTTCTTTTCTATTCTGTAATTTTCTATTCTTTTCCATTCTGTTTTTCTATATTTTCTATTCTTAATTTTCTTTTTTTTTGTTTTATTATTCTATTGTTTCCTTTCTATTGTATTCTTTTTTTTTTTTTTTTCCATTCTATTCTATTCTTTAATAATCTATTCTCTTCTATTTTTATTTTATTCTATAAAGCAGCCTAAGTAGGAATCATCATCTTATTTCACTTTTATACCTTACTGTATGTAGCGCACCCCCTGAAGACAGGATAGTACCTCCAAAGTGCAGGGAGTGCGCTAGCATTTACCCTAGGGCTGAGTCCATGGCTAAAAAAGGGAGATTAGAACAGTAATTGGGCGGCAGTCACTTTAGGTCTTTTTCAAAGCTTTAATATTGAACTTCAAAGGAAGTGGAAGGAGAGGGTTAGAGGTTTCAGATGCCATGCAGATCACTTACAGACTCCTTGGATCCAGAACAAAGTCCAGCTTCACAGTGTCAGAACCTTTAAACTGACCCGGCAACACTGCAAGCATGTTTTAAGGGTTTAGTGCGTCCTCCAAGCGAGTCACCAGACCCTTCTGAGAGATCAGCCTTCATCCTGGCTCTCTCCAGGAAGGGGCCTCCCCTGGATCTTCCCACCTTGGCTCTGCTTCCTCCACTCCAGGCAGGTCAGCCTTAGGACCACTGCAAAGCAGGTAGGCCCACATGGGTTTCTGGGCCTAACACAGAGCTCTCTCCAGCAGCACATTCTCAAGCCATGGCCTGTCCCAAATATTTATATCCTCTCCCAGAATTCATCCCTGGCCGAAGAACCTCCTACTGGAAGAAATATAAATATTCATAACTCAGGCTAATTGTGCACTATCACACTATGGCCTGTGGTAGCAGTGACACCTACTGGTGACAGTGAGAAATGTACAACCCAACTGAGCTTAGGGGAAAGCCAGATAAAGTCTGAGCCAATTACAGCCCAGCCAAAAACTAGATTTGCAAAGTAGCCCCAGTTTTAGGGCCAGGGGCTACATGTATTTATTGCAATATAGTATAGAGGGGTGCAGTGCTAACATCTAAAAATGCATAAGACTTATAAAGCAACAATCAATTAAAGTAATCATGTGCAAATAAATATATAAGCCACTAATCCATGGCTAATAGTGTTGGAGATGGTGAAATTCAATATAAAAAGTTCATAAAAGAGGTGATGGTGAGATCCCAAGTGATCTAAGGATGTCCTATGGCGGAGACCGTGAGTCAGGTGATATAAGATAATCTGATTGCGCACTCACCAGATACGCAAATCAAATGCGCATTAATTGTAGAAATCACAGGTCATTCTACAATTTCTACAATTAATGCGCATTTGATTTGCGTATCTGGTGAGTGCGCAATCAGATTATCTTATATCACCTGACTCACGGTCTCCACCATAGGACATCCTTAGATCACTTGGGATCTCACCATCACCTCTTTTATGAACTTTTTATATTGAATTTCACCATCTTCAACACTATTAGCCATGGATTAGTGGCTTATATATTTATTTGCACATGATCACTTTAACTGATTGTTGGTTTTTAAGTCATATGCATTTTTAGATTTTAGCGCTGCACCCCTCTATACTATACTTGTGTCTTTTGAAAAAGTTTTATACAGTGCCTTTTTGGTGTACAGCAGCTGGTAGGGTTGTTTTTTACTTAGCGCTCACTTATCTCCCTTGTATTGATTTATTGCAATAGGTTTACATTATGAATTTTCATATTCGAATTTGGATAATTCGTATTGTTTCAATTTATTGAAATTCGTTACTATTCTGATTCGAAAATTCCAAGTCTCTGAATAACGAAGATTTTGTCCGAATTTCAATCCATAAATGTAACAAATTGCACATGTCTACTGTTGGGGGTTTTAACTGCCATCTAGTAAAGGTTCCCATCTCCTTAGTAAATCTGTTTCAATACCTCTCTGTTTATCAGTAGCATAAGTATCAATTCACAAACCTGCAACAATCGTTATTTAGATAAACTTCACCATTTCTAATTAGAGACAGTGGGCTCAATTCACAAAGTTTTAACACAAGGATAAGGATGTGAATTTTAGACATAGTTACATAGTTAGTCTGGCTGAAAAAAACAAAAGTCCATCCAGTTCAACTATAAAATTAAAAAAAAAAAAAGTTATAAATCCTACATCCACAGTTGATCCAGAGGAAGGCAAAAACCCAGCAAAGCATGATCCAATTTGCTTCTACAGGGAAAAAAATTCCTTCCTGATCCCCCGAGAGGCAATCGGATATTCCCTGGATCAACTTTACCTATAAATGTTATATCCAGTTATATTCTGTGTATCTAAGAAACAATCCAGGACTTTTTTGAAGCAATCCACTGAGCTGGCCAGAACCAACTCTTGAGAGAGAGTCTGTTTCCACATTTTCACAGCTCTTACTGTGAAGAAGCCTTTTCTTGTTTGGAGATTACATTTCTTTTCCTCCAGATGTAAAGAGTGCCCCCTTGTCCTCTGTGATGACCTCAGGGGGAATAACTCTACACCGAGTTCACTATATGAACCACTGATGTATTTATACATGGAGATCATATCCCCCTTATGTATTATACATGGAGATCATATCCCCCCTTATGTATTATACATGGAGATCATATCCCCCCTTATGTATTATACATGGAGATCATATCCCCCCTTATGTATTATACATGGAGATCATATCCCCCCTTATGTATTATACATGGTGATCATATCCCCCCTTATGTATTATACATGGAGATCATATCCCCCCCTTATGTATTATACATGGTGATCATATCCCCCCTTATGTATTATACATGGAGATCATATCCCCCCTTATGTATTATACATGGTGATCATATCCCCCCTTATGTATTATACATGGTGATCATATCCCCCTTATGTATTATACATGGTGATCATATCCCCCCTTTTGTATTATACATGGAGATCATATCCCCCCCCATGTATTATACATGGAGACCATATCCCCTCCCCATGTATTATACTTGGAGATCATATCCCCCTTATGCATTATACATGATGATCATATCCCCCCTTATGTATTATACATGGAGATCATATCCCCCTTATGTATTATACATGGAGATCATATCTCCCCTTATGTATTATACATGGAGATCATATCCCCCTTATGTATTATACATGGTGATCATATCCCCCTTATGTATTTATACATGGTGATCATATCCCCCCTTATGTATTATACATGGAGATCATATCCCCCCTTATGTATTATACATGGAGATCATATCCCCCCTTATGTATTATACATGGAGATCATATCCCCCCCCCTTATGTATTTATACATGGTGATCATATCCCCCCTTATGTATTATACATGGAGATCATATCCCCCCTTATGTATTATACATGGTGATCATATCCCCCCTTATGTATTATACATGGAGATCATATCCCCCCCTTATGTATTATACATGGTGATCATATCCCCCCTTATGTATTATACATGGTGATCATATCCCCCCTTAATGTATTATACATGGTGATCATACCCCCCTTTTATGTATTATACATGGTGATCATATCCCCCTTATGTATTATACATGGTGATCATACCCCCCTTATGTATTTATACATGGAGATCATATCCCCCCTTATGTATTATACATAAAGATCATATCCCCCCTTATGTATTATACATGGAGATCATATCCCCCCCCCCCTTATGTATTATACATGGAGATCATATCCCCCTTATGTATTATACATGGTGATCATATCCCCCCTTATGTAATATACATGGAGATCATATCCCCCTTATGTATTATACATGGAGATCATATCCCTCCTTATGTATTATACATGGTGATCATATCCCCCTTATGTATTATACATGGAGATCATATCCCCCCTTATGTATTATACATGGAGATCATATCCCCCCTTATGTATTATACATGGAGATCATATCCCCCTTATGTATTATACATGGTGATCATATTCCCCTTATGTATTATAAATGGAGATCATATCCCCCCTTATGTATTGTACATGGAGATCATATCCCCCCTTATGTATTGTACATGGAGATCATATCCCCCCTTATGTATTGTACATGGAGATCATATCCCCCCTTATGTATTGTACATGGAGATCATATCCCCCTTATGTATTATACATGGAGATCATATCCCCCCCCCTTATGTATTATACATGGTGATCATATCCCCCCTTATGTATTATATACATGGAGATCATATCCCCCTTTATGTATTATACATGGAGATCATATCCCCCTTTATGTATTATACATGGTGATCATATCCCCCCTTATGTATTATACATGGAGATCATATCCCCCCTTATGTGTTATACATGGAGATCATATCCCCCCCTTATGCGTTATACATGGAGATCATATCCCCCCTTATGTATTATACATGGAGATCATATCCCCCCTTATGTATTATACATGGAGATCATATCCCCCCTTATGTATTGTACATGGTGATCATATCCCCCCTTATGTATTATACATGGAGATCATATCCCCCCTTATGTATTATACATGGAGATCATATCCCCCCTTATGTATTATACATGGAGATCATATCCCCCCTTATGTATTATACATGGAGATCATATCCCCCCTTATGTATTACACATGGAGATCATATCCCCCCTTATGTATTACACATGGAGATCATATCCCCCCTTATGTATTATACATGGAGATCATATCCCATTTAATCTCCTCTTCTCAAGAGACAATTCAGTTCCTCTAATCTTTCCTCATAGCTGATCTCCTCCAGCCTCTTATCAGTTTGGTTGCCCTTCTCTGTACTTTCTCCAGTTCCCCAATGTTCTTTTTGTGAATTGGTGCCCAAAACTGAACTGCATATTCCAGATGAGGTCTTACTAATGACCACCCACTGTCAAAGTATACCACGTCCACCGCCAGCCCTCTGTCCAAGTATACCACGTCCACCGCCAGCCCTCTGTCCAAGTATACCACGTCCACCGCCCCCCCTCTGTCCAAGTATACCACGTCCACCGCCACCCCTCTATCCAAGTATACCACGTCCACCGCCACCCCTCTGTCCAAGTATACCACGTCCACCGCCACCCCTCTGTCCAAGTATACCACGTCCACCTCTACCCCTCTGTCCAAGTATACCACGTCCACCTCTACCCCTCTGTCCAAGTATACCACGTCCACCTCCACCCCTCTGTCCAAGTATACTATGTCCACCTCCACCCCTCTGTCCAAGTATATCATGTCCACCTCCAAGTATACCACCCACTCCACCCCTCTGTCCAAGTATACCACGTCCACTCCACCCCTCTGTCCAAGTATACCACGTCCACCGCCACCCCTCTGTCTAAGTATACCACGTCCACTGCCACCCCTCTGTCCAAGTATACCACGTCCACTGCCACCCCTCTCTCCAAGGTTTTGCTCACCTCCTCAAAAAAAAGAAATCAGATTTGTTTGACAACTTCTGTCTTTCATGATTCCATACTGTCTGTTGCTTAAAATATTTTTTTCCAGCAAGAACTCATCTATGTGGTCTTTTATTAAACTCTCCAGTATCTTCCCAATTATAGAAGTTAAACTAACAGGTCTATAATTACTTGGTAAAGATTTTGACCCCTTTTTAAATATTGGCACCGCATTGTCCTTACGCCAATCCAGTGGTACTATGCCAGTCATTAAAGAGTCCCTAAAAATTAGAAGCAATGGCTTTGAAATGACAGAGCTCAATTCTGTAAGGACCCGTGGGTGTATGCCATCCGGTCCAGGTGCTTTATTCACCTTTATTCTATCTAAATATTTTTGGATCATATCAATTGTGAGCCAATGTGGATCATTTGGAGCTGTGTCAATACCATGCCCATTATGGACAAGAGCTCCCCCATGCTCCTTTGTATACACTGAGCTGAAGAAGGTCTCCCTGGACCCTGCATTCCCACAGTACACAGACCATGGAAATGCAATTACTTTAGTAAATATAAATTGCTAAATACCTTTTCTCATCAGAAGTATATAGCAGTCTTGTGACTTCTATCAGTGTCCAACCGAGCACTGGTTAAAAATGGTTAGGAGTTTTCATTCTGCTCTTGGAGGATGCAGAACCCCTGACCTCTGGCTGATCACAAGCACTCTCCCAAGGGAAAAAAAAACTCTCTAGCAATACACACTAAACTGAGCATGTGCAGAATGGCTACAGTTTAGTCTGTCTTATCAGATAAGAGGTGGATATTTGAACAAAAAGGATCTGAGAACACAGGATCAAATGGCCTTTTTACACAATGAAGAGGATTGACCCCTTAGGTTCCACAGTGAGTATAACCAGCATGCTTTACTGCATATACAGACTGATTTTACTGTTGTTGGTTTAAGCTGCCTGTGGATGGTGCCAAGTCAGCAAGTGACTATACTGTCCAGACAGACTGGGTCTAAGGAGGTATGTCAATGCATAAAATGGCATTTGAAACTGAACAAACATTATACAAGTGTTGGATGTTATGATGTACTGCCGTCGGTTTGTTTTTGTTTTGTTTTTTTTTAAATGTGTTGACCGCTCAGGGTAAAGTTGAGCCCTTGCTTGATATTTGCACCCAGTCGGCCTAGGGAGCGATCCACTATATAGGACCTAAGAGCAGTAGGAAATTTTGAATTGTGTGTTAGCTATGGGAATTGCATTTAATGAGTACAAAACGTAATGACCAATATGGCACATGTATTGAAGCTTAGTGAATTAAGCTGCGCCTGACATCACTTAACGATCCACATCATTTTCTTTTTGCCCTTTTTGTTTTCTAAATAGACGACTTTGCTTCATTTTTGGGAGAAAACATCTCACACAATGGCAGCGATTCATGAAAGCTTCAAGGGGTATCAGCCATATGAATTCACTACAATAAAGGTAAGCAAAGAATTCTATTCCAATGCCTGTTCTAACATCTGGACTCTAGGAAGGATATACTAAGCCTTTTGTGAGAAAATGTTTTTGTTTCTTTTTGTTTTTAGAGATTGAGTGGGGGAAATGTAAATTTTGTCAGGTTTTTATTACTCTTAGTATCCCTGTAAACGGTATTTTTCTTCACGCCCTGTCCCCTGTGACACCCATACAAGAAATGGAGAGAAAGGAAAGCATGAACAGCAATAAAAACATGCCAGATGTTCTAACCCAGGGTTTCTCAACCAGAGTTCAATGGAACTCCAGGGTTCCTCCAGAGGTTGCTAGAGGTTCCTTGAGCAATTTCTGCCTCTCAGATTGGTTCTCGCTGACACCATTGATCTTTTTAGCTATCTATAAGGGGGGAATTCTTCTCACTGACCACAAGTGTAAGGAGCATTCTTACCTCTGACCATCACACTAATGTATCATGAATTGTAGATATAGTAATTATTACAAAGGGTTCCCTGATACCAGGAATTTCAAGGGTTCAGGGTTGAAAGGCTATTCTAACCCTTTTCTCACTCCAACATGTGCTTTGGTCCTCGGTTAGGATTTTATTGCTCAATAATTCTTTAGGTGATGAGGGGAGCTGGATTATTCTGTGTAGATTCATTTCAAAAGGCTTTGAGCAGGGGCGGACTGACCATTTGGAAACTCGGTCACTGCCCGAGGGCCCGGGGTCAGTAGGGGGCCCCATGAGATGCCCCTGGTACCTTTTTCATAGGCTTTTTTAAGTTTGGGCAAGGACACAGGGGCCCCATGATCCCCTATTGCCCGGGGCCCCATGAGTTGTCAGTCCGCCCCTGGCATTGAGTTTTTAGTTTGGAGTTGACTGGTAGCTCTGGTTGTCAGGACTTTGTATAGGACTTCTGAGGATGGAATACCTAAAGGATAGAAGCATCACCCCAAGTATAAAGGCTCAGAATGATATTTTATTTAAAATCGACGAGAAAAATCCAATGCATCGCAAAGGGTGTAAAAATCTTCCTTCATCAGGACTGAATGAAAGAATGAAATCTGGAATGGGCAAAAATATCAGAAAGACAGGCACTTTATTGCTGACAGTCCCGTTGTAAACATGAATTCATTTCTCCAAATGTAATTCTTTGGAGCCTATTTGGTCCTGAAGAAGAGGGACTTCCACAACCCTTAAGTCTTCGGACACACTGAATCCAACTTTGAAATCACTTGAAGGTGCGACTTGGAAGACATCTGTGCGACTTTATGCACAGATGTCTGTGCAAGTTCTACCTGAACTTGCAAAATGTAATACACGAAGTACTTGCAAAATCGGTGCGACTCCAACGGAGCCAGAGTCACACCAATTTGACCTCTTCCTTTGCAGACAGATAGAGTGCGACTTGTCATGTGACTGAGGACTAAAGCATGTTGATTTCATCTTGGCAATTTTAAAGTGATACCAGAATGTCTCTTTTTTTTTATTAAATAAAATAACAAGCATGGCATACTTACATAGTCTGGCTGAAAAAATACAAAAGTCCAGCCAGTTCAACCATTACAAAAAAAAGTTATAATCCTATACCCACAGTTGATCCAGAAGAAGGCAAAAAAACACCAGCAAAGCATGATCCAATTTGCTCCTGCAGGGAAAAAAAATTCCTCCCTGATCCCCCGAAAGGCAATCGGATATTCCCTGGATCAACTTTACCTATAAATGTTAGTATCCAGTTATATTCTGTGTATCTAAGAAAGAATCCAGGACTTTTTTAAAGCAATCCACTGAGCTGGCCAGAACCAACTCTTGAGGGAATCTATTCCACATTTTCACAGCTCTCACTGTGAAGAAACCTTTCTGTATATGGAGATTAAATCTCTTGTGCTCCAGACGTAAAGAGTGCCCCTTGTCCTCTGTGATGACCTCAGGGTGAATAGCTCTACACCGAGTTCACTATATGAACCACTGATGTATTTATACATGGAGATCATATCCCCCTTATGTATTATACATGGAGATCATATCCCCCCCTTATGTATTATACATGGAGATCATATCCCCCCTTATGTATTATACATGGAGATCATATCCCCCCCTTATGTATTATACATGGAGATCATATCCCCCCTTATGTAATATACATGGAGATCATATCCCCCCTTATGTATTATACATGGAGATCATATCCCCCTTATGTATTATACATGGAGATCATATCCCCCCTTATGTATTATACATGGAGATCATATCCCCCCTTAATCTCCTATTCTCAAGAGAGAATAAATTCAGTTTCTCTAATCTTTCCTCATAGCTGAGCTCCTCCATGACCCTTATCAGTACTTACCTGCTTTGTGCAGTAGTTTTGCACACAGCTGATTCCCTTCTTTTGGGTCCACCGCTGGTGCTCTGGCTCCTCCCCCCTCGAGCAGTGCCCCAGAGAAATCTGCTTGCCCTGGGGGGCTCCGCTGCATGTTTGCTCCTGAGCCATAAGACACATACAGGTGCGGCTCTGCCCCACCCCATTTTCCGCTCTCTCATTGGCTCACTGGCTGTGATTGACAGCAGCTGGGGCCAATGGGCTCCCATTGCTGTTATAGCCAATGAGGAGGTAGAGTCCCCATGCAGCCAAGGCTTTTGTGAACATCGCTGGATCGGAGGGGGCTCAGGTAAGGATTAAGTGGCGGCTCTGCACACAAAAGGTAAAAAACCTTGAGCCTGTAGAACCACTTTAAAGCCCAAGTCTAAAGAACTTGAAAATTCTCCCTTGCAATGGGGTTGTCCCTGCACTGCAAGGGTTAAATGCTTGTTTAGGTCTAGGGGCCAGAGAAAAGATTATGTAGTTACCTAATATCAAAAACTGTGCCACGCTCCACTTAAAACTATAGATATATATGCAAATATACAGAAAGTCTTCCAACATAAAGATATCCAAGTGTTTGCATCACATCCGTGATTCCATGCAAACAATGTGTTATAACAAATCAAGTGTTCCTCAGTTCACCTTCAGTGTTTAATGCCAAACCAGCACTTGTGCACCTCCACCAGTTGTGCTCTCACATTATATATATGACCCAACTGTTAAGCAAGGTCATATAAATCCCGTGTCCCTATATGGGATTATGTAAAGATAGGATTAGTATCCAACAGGTCTGGATCCCCTTCGCTCCTCTAATTGTCCTCCTCCATATGAATAATGTGTAGATGCGCTTTTTGCAAAAACAATTGCTCCAAATGTAGCTAGCAGTTCTGACATGTATTGCCAGCCGGTACCTCTCACTGTCCATCAAGCGGCATGACGTCAAAGCCTCTCCCCTACACGTTACGCCACCGGGTCACGGGGCTTCATCAGGCGGACATTCCCCCTGATGAAGCCACGTGTGCCGGTGGCGTAACGTGTAGGGGAGGGGCTTTGACATCACGACGCTCGACGGTTGGGTCATATATATAAGGTGAGAGCACAACTGGTGGAGCTGCACAAGTATTGGTTTGGCATTAAACACCAGAGGTGAACTGAGGAACACTTGATATATCACATTGATTGCATGGAATCATGGATGTGATACAGACACTTGGATATATTTTATGTTGGAAGACTTACTGCATATTTGCATATATATTGTTAGTTTTAAGTGGAGCACAGCACAGTTTTTGATATTTTATATTGGTGGCACATTTGTATGAGTATGTGTATGGTGCAAGCGATCTGCTAATCACATAGGGTAATTATTCACATATCACATTTTGGCATAGCAGCTCACAAGCTTTTATTTCATGATTTGCTTACCTGATCCTCTGTTGCTCTGCACTGCTAGACTAGACTCCACGGCATCTTCTCCCCCATGCTCCAGCAATCTACGGTCTTGATGTCATCAACACTGATGCAGGGTCTATTGCTGTGCATTTGACGTGATCATGCCGAGGGACATTTCATCACTGAAACACCATCTACCTGGGGAGCGGAGGATCAGGTAAGTAAAAGTGCTTATCGTCTAGACCAGCAATGGGCAAACTACGGCCCGCGGGCCGTATATACGGCCCGGCGGACCTTTTAATCCGGCCCGCAGAGCTAGGCTCCCGCTAGGCTCCTCTCACAGTCCGCCCTGAAGACCGGTGTAGCATGAAAATCTGTCTCCTATGAGGATCTGTCCCCCTCGACGTATCTGCGCATGTGCCAGAGATCGCCGATCGGCTGCTAATGCCTGAAACTGGCACATGCGCAGATACGTCGAGGGGGACAGATCCTCATAGGAGACAGATTTTCATGCTACACCGGAACGGCGCGGGAACACGGCAAGAGGAATGCGCGGAGCAAAGGTAAGTGAATTGACACAGGGGGGACTTGGGGACTTAATATGGGGAATGAATTACTATAGGGGGGATGAATTATTATGGGGGATGAATTACTATGGGGGATGAATTACTATATGGGGGATGAATTACTATATGGGGATGATGAATTACTATGGGGGATGATTACTATATGGGGGATGAATTACTATATGGGGGATGAATTACTATGGGGGATGAATTACTATATGGGGGGATGAATTACTATATGGGGGATGAATTACTATATGGGGGATGAATTACTATATGGGGGATGAATTACTATGGGGGATGAATTACTATATGGGGGATGAATTACTATGGGGGATGAATTACTATAGGGGGATGAATTACTATGGGGGATGAATTACTATATGGGGGATGAATTACTATGCTTACTATGGGGGAATATTTACTATACTTACTATGGATGACACATACACATCATTCATCTACTCTTGGTCCGGCCCCCGGGTCCAATATATGAAACCCATTGCGGCCCTCAAGTCAAAAAGTTTGCCCACCCCTGGTCTAGACTAAGCCAGCAATCAACCCTTGCAGTGTAAGCAGAGTCAACTCTTTCAGTGTAGGCGCAGTCAACCCTTGCAGTGTGGGCGCAGTCGACCCTTGCAGTGTGGGCGCAGTCGACCCTTGCAGTGTGGGCGCAGTCGACCCTTGCAGTGTGGGAGCAGTCGACCCTTGCAGTGTGGGCGCAGTCAGCCCTGGCAGCGTGGGCGCAGTCAGCCCTGGCAGCGTGGGCGCAGTCAGCCCTGGCAGCGTGGGCGCAGTCAGCCCTTGCAGCGTGGGCGCAGTCAGCCCTTGCAGCGTGGGCGCAGTCAGCCCTTGCAGCGTGGGCACAGTCAGCCCTTGCAGCGTGGGCACAGTCAGCCCTGGCAGTGTGGGCACAGTCAGCCCTGGCAGTGTGTGCAGCCCCACTGCAAGGGAGAATTTTCTAAATTCCTAGATTTGGCCTTTAAAACAGAATATAATTCTGGACTTTAATACATGGAGGTCACTTCTATCCTTTATCCTATATTTAAGTTTTTATTGCTGTCTGTGTCCCCATTTGAGAGAATTTTGCTTTCTTTTTTAGTGACAAGGTGTCGCCAGGACAGAAAGTGGTAGAATGTCTCTCCAATGGAGACAGAGACACCCACAAAGGTGCAGTTATTCAGGAGAAATGGAGAAGAAGTCTTCTGTTCTGGTGATACCTGTTCCCCTTCATTTTTTGTCCTGGTATTATCCAGATAGGAGGCAAGGGTAAATTTCTTCAGCAGGGACAGCAATAAAAACTCAACAGAAGTTCTGACTCCCATTCTGTTGACAATGAAAAAAAACAAGTTTTGGCTGAAGCCACACTTTATTAAGATATTTTTGATTGAAAATGTGTATGCACTGGACCCAGGCGCCATCACTGAGTCATAAGTTATTTTGTCATCTGAGCACTTTTGAGCGATGAGTTATATTTTGAGACAATTTGTTCAGTTGTTAAAATATGTTCATTAATAAAATGTGTGACAAAAAACCTACGCAAAGAGATATTGGCAGTTTCCAGCTCCATTAATTACCAGCCTGTGTGGGCGTTCATCTAATGGCACGAGGGGAAAAATATTGTTTACTATTATAACACTTTCCAGGAGCCATCTCTTGTTTGGTTTCAGGTTATTTTTGTAGTCACGACTGAGAGCTGACTGATAAATAGATTATTTATCCAGCCAAGTTCGGAAACTGGAGCTCCTTCTCTACATCTTCAATTTGTTCTGAGAAACAGCAAACATGTTCTGGAACGATGGCTGCATCACAAAGTGCAATACATTATCCGTTGTATCCTCTTTTTTTTTCTTAAAGATACATTTATTGAGTTTTAACACAAGACATACAAGAAATACAAAACCCAGGACCAAGGTCTGACAATTAAAATAGTGAGCAGTCAAAACATCTCACATTGCCATACATGTCCAACATGTCAAAGTATACAACAAACTGAATGAATGGATTCCAATTAAAAAGAAAAAAAAGGGGGGGATTATGCACTAAACTTAGGTGGAAAGAACTTACTCAAGATAATGGATCTATAGAGGACAAAGAAAAGGGATTGGAAAGCCATCTGTTTATACAGAGGAAGGGAATCATTAACAAGTTTAAGCCGAGAAGCCACCGTGGGAATTGCAAAAGTACTAGATCCCCAAAAATGCTTAAGAGACAATTCTTGGGATGTAAGACATTAGGTAGGTCCAGTATCTAGGATATTAAGGAGCCCACCTCCCCCCAGAATTCCCGGAGTGTCCGACAGAACCAGAACCAATGCAGGAAGTCGAGCCTATGTCCACAACCTCTGAAACAATCTGCTGTAGGTAGTAAACCCATTTTATGTAACCGGGCAGGAGTAAGGTGAGAAAGATGGAACATTTTTAGTTGGATGATTCTATCGTTAGAGGAGATAACAGATTTAATGTAGGTATCACTGAATTCGAACCAGTCTGCCTCCTCAAACGGTACTGTATGTCCATTGAAACCCATTTAACCTGGGCAACCAGGAATCTAGGATTGGAGTCCATCTCCAGAGCAGAGTAATAAGTAGAGATCAATTTAGTAGGGTCAGGTTGTCATAACAACTTTTCTAAAAGGCTGATGTGTAAAGGGTTAAGTCCCAAATTGTGTACGCAGTGCATGATGGAGTTGATGATAATAAAATAAATAGTGGGAGGGCAGGTTAATTTCCACTCTCAGGTGTTGGAAAGTTTTAAAACCCCAGGCAGTGAAAAGATGGCATAGGTATTTAATTCCTCTACAAGACCAACGTTGGGGTTCAGGCAAAGAATAGAGTTCTTGCAAAGTGGGATTATGCCACAGAAGATTATTGGGAGAATTAACCTAGGAGGTCTTAAATATTCAGGTCAGCACTACATTAAACAAAGACAAGGAGGTACGTAACATTATATTACCAGGACAAGCGGGTACTTGGCATCGGTAAATAATATTATGAAAGGCTTTTAAGGACGAAGCGATAGCTGCTTCAGTAGATACGGCACCAGGATCTAATGGGAATAGGGTAGATTTATCCCAATTCAACTGGAAGCCACAGTAGTCACCAAAGAGAGTAATTTCTTGTAGTAAAGTATGCAAGGAATCATGGGGATCAGCTAAGTATACCAAGGTGTCATCTGCATACAGGGTGATACGACTGGCTCTTTACAGTAGAAATCAAGTTCTCTAAAAGGGTTGACAGAGTCTCTGAGGCAGGGCCAAAAAGACAGGAATGGGCAGTCCATCATCACAAGAGGAGTTCAGTGGAAACCGAAGGCAACAGGATCCGCCAGCTCAGGTGAAGTAGTCTGAAGAGAGCCCCAAACAGTTGAAAATGGGTTCAGGCATAGGAGAGCCTGACAGAGATAACGTCGCCCACGCCTGGGTTCCGGCCCGTCATCCAGCCAAGACATCATCTCTTTTGGGTAAAATTGAGCTTTCCCATCATGAATAATGCGCAGCTTGGCTGGAAAAAGCATAGCATATCGTATGCCATGATTTCTAAGGGGTGCTTTTACAGTGCTATAGGAAGCGCGTTGACGCTGTATGTCTGCAGAAAAGTCAGGGTAAATAGAGGTGGTAGCGTCGTTATACCGAAATGGCCCCTTCTCCCTAGCACTTTGGAGGATGATAATTTTATCTTGAAAGTTGAGGATTCGTGCAATCATGGAGTGGGGAAGAGTCAGAAGTGGGTAGAAGCGGTGGTGTGTGATGGGCTCGCTCAGTTACAAAGTTGGAGGGTAATGCCTCAGCTTTCAAGGTGTCCCTTAGCCAGGAAGAATGAAACTGTTCAGGAGATTATCCATCAGAGCGTTCAGGAAATCCCACAAAACACAGGTTATTTCTGCGGGATTGATTTTCCAAATCGTCCAATTTGGCCTTGAGAGCCACCATTTCATCAGTAGCCGAGTGCACTGAGATGGTCAAAGGATGAAGAGTATCTTCTAGGGAACTAATGTGGTCTTCAGCCGCCCCCGTTCTCTCCCGAAGATTTTGTACAACTTGTTTCAACACAGAGATCCAACATGGATGGTCTCTATCTGTGTAGTCAGAGAAGTCTTGCAATCATGTATGGCGTGCATAATCTGAGATGTAGGTTCAGTAGATTGCTGAACAGTATCCTCCTCATTATCAGAGTCAGGACGGGAGCCCAAAGGAGAAGAAAGGACTGCAGACAGAGCAGAGAGCTCAGGGGGAGAAGCACTCACTGATCCAACAGGGCCTGTCTGGGAGAGAGCAGCAGGCGGCAGTGTGGAGAAGGGAGTGTGAGTGGAGCCGGTGCCATCTTCCCTATGAAAGCAGGCCAACTTTTATGGTCATGTTACAGTGATGTGCCTGCCTTCAGGAGGAACAGAACAATGATTCTTAGGTGAGGATTCGGTGCAGGATGTCTGAAGGATGTTGGAAGAGAGCCGGAGCCGTCGGGTTAAGCTGCCACTCGTTCTGGTATCAGGCCACGCCCCCCCATCCATTGTATCTTCAATTATTTCTCTTGTGAAGCCTGTTTGTGAAATCCATGTCATATGTATATCTCTTCACCCTGTGCTCAAGTTGTCTGGAGACCCTTTCATCTTGCCCATACGAGACAATGTGACAGAGTCTGCTTTAAGCCCATCCCCCAACCACCTTATACTCCACAGCTTCCCCTGGCTCCTCCATTCCTTCATGATTGCCAGGGTGTTAGTGGGCGGCGGGCTGCCTTGCGCATGAGCATAGCGAGCATGAATATTGCTATGGCAAGTATAAAGTAGTTGGGGGTGGGTTCTTCACCAACATTGTCACTTTGCCCTGAAAGGCAAGTTGACAGTATCTCTTTAAAGCCAAACTCCAGCCATTTCTTTTTAGCTTGGATAGAGCGGGGAAGAATCAACAACTTTGACCCTATTGGGAAAATTTTCTCTCATGTCCTGTGACACCCATGTAAGAAAGAAGGAAGTACCGTTGTCACTAGAACAAGAAGACAAAGGCTGCAAAAAAAAAACCCATTGTCAGACATTCGAGCCTCTCCCATTCTATCCCAAAGAGAATAAAACATTCTGGCTGCTACACCACCAGTCTGTTTGTCCTCACAGGTGTAGTAAAAGCCCGGTGCTTCTGGGCATGGTGAGCCTGTGACCTGCTCTCCTTACTCTCAGGATACAGTACTCAGGGTTGAGTGGCCAATTGCCAGGCTTAAACATGTCACATTAAAAAGAGGAGCAGGTCATTGACCCTGTGTAAGTTCCATCGCATACCAACACATAGCTTACACAGGATCTAGGCCCATTGATGAACGGGGTAACAGGAGAACACAATGAAAAGGAGTATAAATGATTCTGGGGTGGGCTTTCATGAGAAACCTGTCACGTTGCCCGAAATGGATAAAGTGATAAATTCCCTTTTAAATATGATTGAACTCAATTGGCTTATGTCTTTTTTTTTTTTTTTTTTTTTTTTTTTTTTAACCTGATGTAATTATAAAATGTTCTTCCAGAGTTTACAGGATCCCTTTAACAAACCAAGTCACCAAAGTAAGAAAAAAAGTCGAAAGATAATGAAAATGCTCTCGAAAAACAGGACGACAGTCAGTAAGTAGCTGAATGCTGAGGACAGAATGGGGAATTGGAAAGTGATATGAGAAGCACACAGAAAAGTAACTTCTACTAGAAGGGTTTCCCTCCAACATCAAACCTCACCTCAAAAGGAGGTCCTGATCCTTCTATAGAAATGTTTATTTATCACTAAAAAAATCACCAGTATGAGAAAGGAGGTTTCGATTCCTTTAACTTTCTAGCTATTATTATATTATTTTTATTATTATACAGTATTTATAAAGCGCCAACAGTTCACTCAGCGCTGTACATTACAATGGGAGACAGGACATGCGACAGTACAATAACAATACAGTGTGATACACAAGGGGTTAGAGGGCCCTGCTCCTTGGAGCTTACAATCTAGGAGGGAGGGGATAGTGGTACAGGAGGAAATAGCTGTGGGGGATGGAGTGGTAGGAAGAGTGGAGGAGGTTGGGAATTAGCAGGGGGTGGGGTAGGCTTCCCTGAAGAGGTGGGTTTTCAGGGTGCGCCTAAAGGAGAGGAGAGTAGGTGATAGTCTGATGGATTGGGGTAAGGGGTTCCAGAGTATGGGTGACACCCTGGAGAAGTCCTGGAGGCGGGCATGGGAGGAGGAGACTAGGGAACTAGAGAGAAGGAGGTCTTGTGAGGAGCGGAGAGTGCGTGTAGGGTGGTACTTGGATATTAGGTCGGTGATGTAGTTTGGGGTAGTATGATGGACGGCTTTGTACGTCAGTGTTAGGATTTTGAATTTGATCCGTTGGGCAATCGGAAGCCAGTGGAGGGATTGACTGAGGGGGGGGGTGGCGGAAACAGAGCGGTTGGTAAGGTGGATGAGTCTGGCTGCCATATTCAGGATCGACTGAAGCGGGGATAGCCTGTGGCGATCATTAGAAGGATCACCAGCAAGAGGAAGGAGGTCTTAATTCCTCTATATAGATCTTTTGTTCTCATTAGAGGGATCACCAGCAGAAAGAAGGAGGGCCTGATTCCTCCATATAGATCTTCAGCTATCACTAGACAGATCACCAGCAGGAAGGAGGGCCTGATTCCTCTATATATGTAAATCTTTAGTTCTCACTAGAGGGGTCACCAGCAGAGGAAGGAGGTCCTGATTTCTATATAGAATTTTAGCTATCACTAGAGGGATCACCAGCAGGAGGAAGGAGATCCTGATCCCTCTAGGTATATCTTTGGACCTGTAGTAGATCTTTTAGGATACTGTTTCAAGTTCAGGAGACCTCACTTACAAAAATATATTAATAAGATAGAACAAGTCAAGAGACAGACAACAAAAATGGGGAAAGGTCTGAGGGATAAACCTTATCGTCAGAGGCTGCAGGAAGTTAACATGTACAATCTTGAGTAAAGAACGGAAAAGAGAGACATGAAACCTTTACATACATGACGGGTGTGGATAAGGTTGGGGGGGGGAGGGGGCAGTATTTGAATATGAAGCTAAGATCAAAAACCCATGAAACACGACCTCAAACTAGATTGAGAAAATTTTAAAAATAATCCTTGAAAGTGTTATTTACAGAAAAAGTACTTGATGCTTGAAATAGACTTTCAGCAATAGGTAGCGAGTCAGTACAACACATTTCATTAAACATGTTTGGGAGAAACCTAGATCTCTACACAGACAAATATGTTAAAAGAAAAAAAAAAGGCGTAGACTCGATGAGTCCATCTTAGGTTTTTTTTATGACATCACTCTTCTATGTTTCTATTGTAATTGTGCCTCTGTGATTGACTAGTCTCACGACTGGTCCACCTGGAGGCTGGAAAGAAAGTAGGAGGATTTACAAAAAAATTAGTTATAACCAGAAACAGGAGATGGTATTCCTCCAATGGAGACACTTTTTCTGTAACTGTTAGTAAGAAGAAATAGAAAGTTTTCCTCACACTTTCTGCTGTGTCTCTAGGACAAAAAATTAAGGCACATCTCCCCAAAGGGGTTACAAATAGCAATAGAAACACAAGAGGTTCTAACACTCCCACTTTCCATCCAGAAATATAAAACGTTAAACTCTTTAAACCTATGGTTTTATATGTTCATAGTCCTGAAGAAGGGGGACTTTCACAGCCACCAAAACACGTTTTTCTTGGCGTTTTTTAAATAGGATATTCTGGAATTTTAAATGTGGAGGGACAGTTCTTTAATTCTATATTTAGATTTTTATTGCTGTTTGTGTCCTTGTTGGAAAGATTTAACTTTTTTTTCTATCCTTGTAGGAGGAGAGGAAATCTTTCCACTGGGGACACATACAGCAATAAAAAATCTGACAAATGTCCTCGGATTCCCCTACTCTACCTAAAACATTTTATTATTACTGTTTGACCCCTTATTGGAGAGATTTTGCTCACTTCCAGTATTGAAGACAACACAGGAAGAGAAACCAAATTTTCCAAATGTCTATAATAGCAATACAAACTTTGCAGAGATTTTAACCCTTTACCATTCCAGTATTTTAGCTGCAGATGTGCTACATTGCATATTATTTTGAATACATCGCATACTATTTTAAATAGGCTCCCAGCACACCGTAACATAAAGAAAAAAAAAAGTTTAACCCTTTCTTTTTATTTTTAGGGCTACTGTAAAAGCGCCATTCAGAATTGATGCATTGCGGTAAAAACACGCGTTTTACTGCAGTTCATAACTGTTGGGGACTTAAAAGAAATGCAATGTTGAGTACATTGGATATACAAGAAAAGAAAATGACATGTGGGGGGGGGGGTGTATGGTGAACAGACATTTAACATCTGAGTGTGGAACTTGGGCTTATTGTGAGGCAAAAGTAGACTGTTGCCTGACAAATTAGTATTTTCTATTAGTTTGGTCACTGAATAAACTCTAGTGAGAGTGTAAAGGGTGCAGGATATCTAAATAGCAAACTACCTCAGGCCTTCTACCTGTAGCACAATTAGTAAGTGTCCTTTAAAAGCAACCCTCTAATAGCAACTAGTCCTTTGGCCCTATGTGAGCTGTCACAGGTCTCTTTCCATATTCAGCAATGAGGTCTCCGTACAATATCTTCTGGCAGCAGCTTCTCCCAAGCTGTCCAGAACACTCCCCAACATAGCAAATATCACTGAAAATGTTCTATACAGGTACTCTCCTTTCACAGTGCCATACAGATAGCAAAAGAAGAAGAAAAGTGCCTCTAAGTGCATTATAAAGGACATTTATTCTGGAACACTAAAATAACACTCACATAGTAAAAGTGTAAATAAAGCTCATTGGTATAGTGGAGTGTCAAGATGGTGTCCAAGTCCTCGCTGAGTGTGCCGTGGTCCAGCCTAGGGGAGACTAGATGGAGAAAGCCAGCATGTGTGTGAAGATGGGCTTTGGAACACACTCTAGAGCTCAACATCAGCGTGATGACGTAAGGAGGACCAGCATGCAATGCGATGAGTTTCAGAGCATACGCGAGGCCAGTAGAGGTCAAGCGCGCTCCCTTCTCAAGCATAGGCTGATGCCGACGTTGCGCTCCAGGGTGCGTTCCAACACCCATCTTCCGAGACACAGAGATGCTGGTTGGCTTTCTTCATCTACAGTCTATCCTAATGCGAACCACGGCACGCTCAGCGAGGACTTGGACACCATCTTGACAGTCCACTATACCGATGAGCTCCATAAAGGTAGCCATCGTCCTGATTCTTTTAAGATTCTATATACAGGTAGCCATTTTCTTGACTTCTCTAGAGATGCTCACTACTGGCAGTCATGTTTTGGGGTAGCTTTTTCTGGATGTACCCTCCAGCAAGCTACTTTGATTCTTTGGGCCCCAACACAGGTCAATTTAGATTCATTGAGCCTTGGTTCATGCCATGGCTGGGTCAAGATCCAAGAAGAAAAACTTCTCCTTATTGTGGCATCCCCATCAGACAAAATCCAAAATGAGAAGACCCTCCTAGGAGGTTTTTATCCTCTTTCATTCTTACCTTCAGCTCACATCATTGAACTAAAACCCTCAGTGATTGGCTGGGGTGGATAAATATTCATCACTCAAACGTTGTTACTTCTCACACTAACTACAGAAGACAACTCAACAGCAACAGGCACACTTAAGCTCAGGCTAGCTACATCTTAGCTAAAACAGTACTAAATATAACTAGGGACACTTCAGCTTAAGGTAGGGTCCCTACATTAAAAAAAAATAAGATCTAGTAAGTCAAGGATTGGGAAAAAGATAAAAAACACACACCCTATGGGGCCCATAGCGTTACAGAGCATTCTGGGTAATTCATGGCTGTGTGAGAGAAATATTGCAACTCGTAGCCTTATGCCACTATAAAAACTAAAGCTCTGTCTCTAATCCTTTGTACAGACTGATCTCACTGGATGAGCAGCAGCAGGATAATGAGGATCTGGATGCTTCAGCCATGTCTCCAGGTAAATGAGGGCTCCACCTGGTTTGGGCTCTATGCTCAGGAAGGGTCATCAGATTCAGTTGTGGCCATTGTCTTGAACATTGTAGTACGTATTTACTGGAGAAAAGGCTGGCACAGAAATATCAGCCCAAAAATACTTTCTAACACCCCCACAGAAATGAGTGAATCACTCTGTGAGAATCTGGAAATTTAACGAGTTTGACCTTGCTCAGTGAATTGCAAAGTCCAGCTTTGCTAGAACACATCCAATTGTTTTTTTTTTTTTTTGGATCAGACAAATCTGCATTTGTTTTTTTTAAGTGACTAAAACATTTGATTCCAAAGAAATTTGCTGAAAAACCCCAAAATGCCAGCTTTCTCTGCTTAGATCTAGTTATTTATTATATGCTGCACCTCTACGTTTTTAGAGCTGAACTCTGGGATAAGTAAATATTGCGAGGCATATGTATTCTTCCTTGGATCTTGGTCTGTTGTAGGTATTTCCTCCAGTTCTGTGCAGTAATCCAATGTGAAATTTTGAAGCTTCCTGTAATAAAGACCAGTCACTGCTGCTCTATCTCCTTGCAGGGTGACTGGTCTTGTCTCCGCCCCCTCCTGTAGTTTTTTTGCAGACAGACTGTAGTGGGTGGGGCCTGATGCGTCCCTCCCACAACTCTGTTTGCTGCACAGTCTATGTACACCCAGTGGTGATGTTACTGCAAATAACTGGGTTTGCAAAGCCATTTGATGCACCCCTTGATCAGAGCTGGACTTAAGACACTGTGGGGTTTATTTTCTAAAGCTGGAGAGTCCAAAATCAGACTCCCTTCTGCATAGAAACCAATCAGCTTCCAGGTTTCATTGCCAAAGCTTCATTGAACAAGCTGAGGTTAGAAGCTGATTGATTTCTATGCAGAAGGGAGTCTGATTTTGGACTCTCCAGCTTTAGTAAATAAACCCCTGTGCGTTGGCTACAAGTGAACTGGACCTTTCATGTTATTTCTTCCAGTGTGTTTGCAAGCACAGGTCTTAGCAGTAGATGGTTGGGCTGCCAATCCAGCTGGGTGGCTTGATGGGTAAATGCCAGTCTGGAGGAGTGGGCATTCCTTGGCAGACTGTATTTGCATACAGAGTCCCCTAGGTGACACCAGCATGAAATGCTGAGCTTTCATGACCAAACAAACTAGAATCTAATGAAAGGGTATGGGCCAGGGACAGTCACACTGAGGAGAAATGGGCTAGATCATGCTGGGTGTCCTCCAGCCAGAAAATAAGGTGGGCTCTTTCTGATTTTCTGCAGATTCTAATGCATATTATGAGAAGCTCACAGTATGCAGTGAAATCAAAGTAAGTGATTTCAGTACAGGAGAGTATCCTGTACAACAGTGCAAGACTGAAGGAAAGACTGGAGGTCAGATTTAAAGCTTGAGCAAATCTTAAAATAAAAAGCCAAGGTAATTTGAAAACAAAATAACAATCATGTTCTAGTTACCTGCTCTGTGCAATGGTTTTGCACAGAGCAACCCTAAACCTCCTCTTCTCAGGTCTCCCACTGGCACTCCTGGCTTCTCCCCCTGCTGAGTGCCCCCATAGCAAGCCGCTTGCTATGGGGAACTCATGCGTGCTCGCTCCTGAGCCCCTGTCTGTGTGTCCATAGAACATGACACACAGAGCATGGCTCGGCCACGCCCTCTGCTGCCTCCTCACTGGCTGTGATTGACAGCAGTGGGAGCCAACAGATCTCACTGCTGTCTCCGAGGCAAGGGAGAGAGCCGGGAGAGTGGCTGCTCACGTGCATGACGCTGGATGGAGATCTGGCTCAGGTAAGTATTGGGGGGGGCTGCACACGGAAGGTGTTCACCTTCATGCATAGAATACACAAAGGTAAAAAACCTTCAGCACTTTAGAACCATTTTAACTTACTCCATTTCTGTCTCTGTTCCATCAATACATTTTCTTTGGTTTCCTATCACCATCCATTACCATTTTCATTATTATCATTTTTATTTTTGCATGTTTTTTTTTTTTCTCACAGAGAAGACTGATCTCACCAAAGGGAACATGCCTACATTTGATGGTAATACAGAGGAGTCTGATGTGTAGTTTTATATTCTAGGGTTCTCTTATGTACCTTTTTGTAGATGTGTTGTTAATGTACGATTGCATTCTTTAGGCACCCTGGATGACTTGTTAGACCTGAAAGCAGAAGAGAAGTTTCTATTTGAAGACAGTGGTGAGTTTTTATACCCAAGAAGGAGGATCATGTGTTGGATTTGTGTACAGACTGGGCACAGCAAGTATGTGCTTAGGTTACAGTTAGTAAACTGATGGCCAAACTCAAGAGCGGGCAACCAGAGGAGTCCACACTTACAATTATAAATCTTAATGAGCCACAAGAACCAGAAACATAAAGCATGCCAATATCATATCAACATGGATTTCTGTAGTTTAGCTTCAGCCCCACCAGGGGCGGACTGGCCATTTGGAAACTCGGGCACTGCCCGAGGGCCCAGGGTCAGTAGGGGGCCCCATGAGATGCCCCTGGTACCTTTTTCATAGGCTTTTTTGAGCTTGGGCAAGGACACAGGGGCCCCCATGATCCCCTATTGCCCGGGGGCCCCATGAGTTGTCATCCGCCCCTGGCCCCACTACATCCTGCTTCCCACAGATTCCAGGAGGATGGCGCCATCTTTTTGAGGCATCATCCAGGCTCTGTTTCTGGACTAAAATGCTGGTTCAGAGATTACTCGATTATATAAATCTTGCCTGCATTCACAAATGGCTGACACAGACTGGTCCCTGCTGGAACCTCAAGGACTGAGAAAATGCATGCTGTCTGCAGCCGACTGGTGACATTATCCTAGGCAGGCCATAGATGGTGCGATTTGGTTGCAGGAAAAAAAATCGCTTGATTCCCCCAATCAACACAATCAGTGTTGATGGGGGAATCCGTCCTGCAGAGCTATTGTGTTCTCCCGTAGGGGATGGGGGGCATGTGGAGCCATCCGCTAGATTGTAAGCTCCAAGGATCAGGGCCCTCCTTTCCTTCTTCTATTGAACTGTATTGTTGCTGTTTTGTCTCCCGTTATATTGTAAAGTGCTGAGCAAACTGTTGGTGCTATATAAATCCTGTAAAATAATAATAATCTCTGCTCAAAGAACACACTGATTTATTGCTAGTTGCTATAGCTGCTGGAAATAATCACATACCGAATCTCCGACATGCCGATTGTACCCAAGTCGATCGATGGATCAACTTGGGTACATTCAGCTTCCCCGCAGATGGTTCAAATCTCAGCCCTGCTGAACTGGACGAGCTTTAAACCATCTATGGCCAGTTTTATTCTGGGCACTTGACTGGAGCTCAAAGACTAATATAAAAAAAAAAAAAAAAAAAATACTGCTGTTGTATCTTGTGACATGTCAGGAATTTATTTATACAGACATGTAAAGTTGTACAACTCATGTTTTTTTTTTTTTTCATACTCAAATATACAACCCCAATTCCCAAAAAGTTGGGAATGCTGTGTAAAATCTACATAAAACCAGAATGCAATGATTTGCAAATCTCATAAACCCGTATTTTATTCACAATAGAAAAAAAGAAAACATATGTTTAAACTAAGTAAACTATTTTAAGTAACAAATAGGATAATTTTGAAATTCATGGCAGCAACACACCTTAAAAAATTTGGGACAGGGCTATGTTTTCCACGGTGTAGCTTCCTCTTCTTTTAACAACGCTCTGTAAACATCTGGGAAGTGAGGAGACCAGTTTCTGGAGTTTTTAGAGAGGAATGTGGTCCACTTCTTTCCTGATATAGAATTCGAACTGCTCATCAATCCTGGATCATATTTGTTATATTATTCTTTTTAAGATGCGCCAAATATTTTCAATTGGTGAAACGTCTGGACTGCAAGCAGGCCAGTTAAGCACCTGGACCCAGACAGCCATGCTGTTGTCTTAGATGCGGTTTAGCATTGTCCTGCTGAAATATGCAAGGCCTTCCCTGAAAAAGACGTCGACTGGATGGGAACATACGCTGCTCTAAAACCTGGATATATCTTTCAGCATTGATGGTGCCTTTCCAGATGTGGAAGTTGCCCATTTCATATGCTTTAAACCTCCCTGGCGGTATTCCCGAGTGTAGCTCGGGGTAAAGTTTCAGTACCACAAGCGGTAACCCTGAGCTACACTCAGGAATACCATGCGGCGCTGCTCCAGGATCCCTCGATCACTTACCTTGTCCTGTGCTCCCGCGATGTCCCTCTTGCAGTGTCCCTGGCAATGTAATCCGGCCGATGCTGGCATCTGTCATCTGGGTTCCGTCCCCTGAGAGCGTCGGGACGTACGGGGGATGGAACGGCGGGAAATTTGAAAATGACAAAAAGTGACATTCACTAAATACACTAAAATCACATAGTGTAACATTCCTGTATCAAACCATTTCACATACATTTTGTCCCGAGTGCTTTGTCCGGCGCCCTGCCTGCATTTTTAGTGTTCTTTCTGCCTGGAAACTGAGAAAAGTCCATGGCGTCCAAAAAGCGTCCCTTTAGGTCAAAATCGGTTTTGGACCGGCTAGAGAACAGCGATAGTAAATCAGAACCACTTGCAGAATTGAGTGATAATGATTCGTGGGGGAAATTCGTCCCGCAAAATGATTTTGCGACTTTGCTCAGTGATGTGCGAACTTGGCGCTCTATTTCAAATTTCAGTGTTTTTGGTTTGATTATATTATTTAATTAAATTTAATAATATTATATTATTATATTTTATGATTATTTATTAAATTACAATTTATTATTTAGTGTTTCAAGTTTTATCATACCCGCGATGTTTACTAGACTCTTGTTCGGACAGATTTCAGGGAGTTATTCCTAAAAATTACAGGCCTACAATAAAAAAAAAAAATACATATTTCCATGCAAAAAAAATGTACCGCTTTGAGCACAGAAATATGGACATAATCAGACCGCTAGGGAGGTTAATGCATCCCCATACTACCAGAGATGCTGGCTTTTGAACTGAGTGCTGATAACAATCCGGAAGATCCCTCTCCTCTTTAGTCTGGAGGATGTGGCACCCATAGTTGCCAAAAAGAAAGTCAAATTTCGATTTGTCTGACCACTGTTTTCCAATTTGCAACGGACCATTTTAAATTATTATTATTATTATTATTATTAGAGATGAGCGAATCGAGCCTGGCGAAGTGGAATTCGTTTCGAATATTAGGAAAAATTCGATTCGCGTCGAATCCGAATATTAGCAAACTTCGGATGCACAAATCGAATTTTCCCCGATCCGCCGGCAAAAAGTGTCCCTGCAGAGAGCTCCGCTATTTCTGACAGTTCTCTGACAGTTCCTTCACATTTACAGCAGTTGAAACATTGTATCTATTTGTTTTCATTTAGGATACAGATGTTTTTATTCGGAAACAAATAGATACAATGTTTCAACCGCTGTAAATGTGAAGGAACTGTCAGAGAACTGTCAGAAATAGCGGAGCTCTCTGCAGATACACTTTTTGCTGGAATGGAATTCTTCTTCATCCTCATCCTACTTCTTCTTCTTCATCCTCATCCTACTTCTTCTTCATCCTCATCCTCATCCTTCTTCTTCTTCTTCTTCTTCATCCTCATCCTTCTTCTTCTTCTTCTTCATCCTCATCCTACTTCTTCTTCTTCTTCTTCTTCTTCATCCTCATCCTACTTCTTCTTCTTCTTCTTCATCCTCATCCTACTTCTTCTTCTTCTTCTTCTTCTTCTTCTTCCTTCATCCTCATCCTACTTCTTCTTCTTCTTCTTCATCCTCATTCTTCTTCTTCTTCTTCTCCTCATCCTCTTCTACTTCTTCTCTTCTTCTTCTTCATCCTCATCCTACTTCTTCTTCATCCTCATCCTACTTCTTCTTCTACTTCTTCTTCTTCTTCATCCTCATCCTACTTCTTCTTCTTCATCCTCATCCTACTTCTTCTTCTTCTTTTCATTCTTCTTCTTCTTCTTCTTTTTTCATTCTTCTTCTTCTTTTCTTCTTTTCATTCTTCTTTTTCTTCTTCTTCTTCTTTTCATTCTTCTTCTTTCTTTTCATTCTTCTTCTTCTTTTTCATTCTTCTTCTTCTTCTTTTTCATTCTTCTTCTTCTTCTTCTTTTCATTCTTCTTCTTCTTCTTCTTTTCATTCTTCTTCTTCTTCTTCTTTTCATTCTTCTTCTTCTTCTTTTCATTCTTCTTCTTCTTCTTTTCATTCTTCTTCTTCTTTTTTTCATTCTTCTTCTTCTTTTCATTCTTCTTCTTCTTCTTCTTTTCATTCTTCTTCTTCTTCTTCTTCTTCTTCTTTTCATTCTTCTTCTTCTTCTTCTTCTTTTCATTCTTCTTCTTTTCATTCTTTTCTTTTCTTCTTCTTTTTCTTCTTCTTATTCTTCTTCTTCTTTTCATTCTTCTTCTTTTCATTCTTCTTTCATTCTTCTTTTCATTCTTCTTTTCATTCTTCTTTTCATTCTTCTTCTTCTTTTCATTTCTTCTTCTTCTTCTTTTCATTCTTCTTCTTCTTCTTTTCATTTCATTCTTCTTCTTATTCTTCATCTTCTTCTTCATCTTCTTCTTCATCTTCTTCGTCGTGCCCCGTGACTGCCCAAATGAGTGAAGTGTGCGGTGATTCTAAGATCGACGGCACTCATCTGCATGTCATACTGACTGACAGTATTATTTCTCTTCCCCAGCAGACTCCAAGGGCATTTAAATTAAAGGTACAGTGTTCTGCACTAATATAAAGGCTCTCTGAAGCCTAGAAACCCTTTTAATAAGTTAAATTCGCAGCGAATAAATTCGCATTGAATCGAATTTATTCCGAAAATTCGGCGAATCAGCCGAATCGAATTTTTGAATAATTCGCTCATCTCTAATTATTATACACAGGATTTATATAGCGCCAACAGTTTGCTCAGTGCTTTACAATATAAGGGAGACAGTACAATTACAATACATTTCAGTACAGAAGGAATAGGAGGGCCCGGCTCGTGGAGCTTACAATCTAAATGAGCTTTGACTCTGTTTTGCTTGGTCTATCAAGGTTCTTTTGCAGTACAAGCCAAGGAAGCGGTTAAAACTCTGTAGTGAAATAATGTGCTTTACTAAATAAAAATCTGCACATACAACTGCAGGATACACAAATCATAGCATGGAAAGTATAGCAAAACATGCTTACAACATGCACAAATCTGATTATCTTCCTAATAAATAAGCATGTACAATATGTATGCAATAAGTATAATAAACAGCTACTCAAATTAGGTTTTCCATTGATGGACTCTTCTTTATGGTTCTTTGAGTCCAGCTGCTCCCTCATCCGTCTTCAGAACAAGTGTGTCCTCTTTTAACTTCCAGAATAACTGTCTTTGTCTAAGAACATGGCTCTAAAGTTCTGCTCCCCCTCCCCCATTTTCTGTTACGTCATATCCTATAGCCATGACATCCTCTGCAGAGCTCATAAGCCAGTCAGACTGACTCATTTTCATATCAAAGGGAGGCTTAGCTTCAAACACAACACATGTAACTTAAAAATCACATATCCAAGCTATAATAAAAATCATCCCACATCCATAGCAACACATTCCACCTCTTGATTTTTTTTATAGCATGATATGTGAAAAACTGGAAACATCAGTTCTTTTATAGCCTTTGTTCAGGAAAGGGTGAAATTAACCCCCGTACAGGGGTGGACTGACAACTCATGCGGCCCCCGGGCAATAGGGGATCATGGGGCCCCTGTGTCCTTGCCCAAACTCAAAAAAGCCTATGAAAAAGGTACCAGGGGCATCTCATGGGGCCCCCTACTGACCCCGGGCCCTCGGGCAGTGCCCGAGTTTCCAAATGGTCAGTCCACCCCTGCCCCCGTATTGTAAATGGGAGGAAAAAATTCTCTCTCAACCCCCTGTATGTTCTGGACAATCAGACTTTTGTCCCTGGATAAGCCGCAACATTCCTTTCAGCAGGGTTAGGAATGTCCTTGACAGTCTGTGTAGATGGAAAGAAAGTAAGTCACAGATGAATGTCCCTTTCCCTCCCGGCCATAAGGAGATGCTCAGATGAAAGTCCACTCCAATGTGCCCCAGTCTATGAATATAAAAACACCTAATGTGACTGAATCTACTGTTCCCAGCCACTTGCTTTCACCTCTTTAGCAAAGCTAGTGTAGAAATCCCATCTATTTCATCTCTAGGGGACCCCCACCTTAAGTGAATCAGCCCACATTTGTCTCCTGTAGATCATAGGCCTTGCTCTCATTTTACCTGACTCAACTTGGCCATCTCTATTGAAGCTGATCAGATTCCCAGCCTGCCACTTATGGGAAGTAACAGTGGCATATGCCCCACTTTTGCTTACAGGCTTAGGGCCTTTTCCTTCGTTACGCCATCCTTAGACTTGTTCATGAGGGCTGCACACCGCTCATTCAAATCTTCAGTTTTGTCTACAGTGGTTTGAACACACATTGAAGCTACTGTGGGTTTGTTCCCTTATCACTTGCCTTGCTTGCAGTGTCTTACAAACGCTCGGTCACCACTGCAAGCTGTTCTTTCAATAAGTCTTTTTTTTACCTCTGCATTTTTCCTCTTTTCAGATTCAATATGTAGAGCATGTAGGAAGTTCAAACAACATAGATGCTGTCTGCATCTCTCCATCACTGAACCCAAAACTGTTAAGACTAAAATTTGAGGAATAATCAGAGACTCCATCACCCCAAGCTTTGCTGAAATGAGAAGCATACCTAGCATGCTATTTTGCAATGACATCCCCTGACTGTCTGTGGCCCAGATAGGTAGAGTGCATGCCTTCTCCTCCAGGACACCAGAAACGTCTGCAGCCTTACTCTTCATAGACAATGTACACAGCATTCTTCCTAGCACAAGCAACTGAAAACACCACAGAGAATAGGTCTGCTTCAGTTGAACTTTAGCGCAAATCCAGTCACGAGCCGCCAATTGTTTTGCTTAGTGTATAGAATTTATTGGTGTGTATGTATATGTTACTTTGCATTGATAAGCAAGGAAGCTTAGACCTCTGTAATGTAATAATGTTCTTATACTAAACAGGAAATCTGCACATACAACTGCAGAAAACACAAATCATAACAAAATATGCCAAAAAATGTACAAGCCAAATATATATAGGTGACTATATACAGTATATGATAGCCACACACAGAAAGTTACGTAACTTAGTTATTTCTGGTAATGGAGTCTTCTCACAGTTCCAGGATCTTCCTTCAGAGTCCAGCAAAAAAACATCTCAAAGTCCTCCAACACACTGTTTCTTCTTCCAGATTTCTAGAACAGCTGTTGCTTTTTTGTGTTTCAGAACCACTCTGTTTGTCCGCCCACATGCCAGAACCACTCTGTTTGTCCACCCACATGCCAGAACCACTCTGTTTGTCCACCCACACATGCCCGTTCAAAAGTTCTCCGCTCCCCCTAACTTCCTGTACATCATATCCTCTGCTGAGCTCATAAACCAGTCTGACTGCATAAACCATGCAGACTCCACCTCCGCAACATCACCAAAATCCGCACGTTCCTAACCCCAGAAATCACTAAACAGCTCATCCACTCCCTCATCATATCACGACTCGACTACTGCAACTGCCTCGCCGCTGGCTATCCCCGCTTCAGTCCATCCTGAATACGGCTGCCAGACTCATTCACCTTTCCAACCGCTCCGTTTCCGCCACCCCCCTCTGCCAATCCCTCCACAGGCTTCCGATTGCTCAACTGATCAAATTCAAAATCCTAACACTGACGTACAAAGCTGTCCACCATACTGCCCCGAACTACATCACTGACCTAATATCCAAGTACTGCCCAGCACGCACACTCCGCTCCTCACAAGACCTCCTTCTCTCTAGTTCCCTGGTCTCCTCCTCCCATGCCTGCCTCCAGGACTTCTCCAGGGTGTCACCCATCCTCTGGAACTCCCTGCCCCAACCCATCAGATTATCACCTACTCTCCTCTCCTTTAGGCGCACCCTGAAAACCCACCTCTTCAGGGAAGCCTACCCCACCCCCTGCTAACTTGCTAACCTCCTCCAATCTCCTACCACTCCATCCCCCACAGCTTTCTCCTCCTGTGCCACCATCCCCTCCCTCCTAGATTGTAAGCTCGAAAGAGCAGGGCCCTCAATCCCCTCATGTTTTGCATTGTATTGTATTGTTATTGGTCTGTCCCCCATTGTAATGTACAGCGCTGAGCGAACTATTGGCGCTTTAGAAATACTGTATAATAATAATAATTTGCATATCAATAGGGGAGGCTTAGCTTCTAAAACAGCACATGGTCTTAAAATGTAACAAATATCAAAGCTATAAAAAACAACCAAATATCTATAGGAACACAGACCCAGAGAAGACTTCAGTGTTTCTTTATCATGTTCAGATATGGCTTCTTCTTTGCATGAAAGAGCTTTACCTTGTATTTTTTAATGTGTTTATGTAGAGTTTACACAGCTTCTCAATTTTCTGGGTAATTGGGGTTGTAATCATACATATAGGTAGGGATGGTACTCCACGTCCAAATATTTTCTTCTGGTGCTGGGATGAGTTTTACAGGTCCCCTTGAGGAGTTAGGCTAAATTTTGCAGGACACATTAAGGGATAAGTTGAGGGGGTTTAGGTCTTTGGGTAAGGGAAGTCTGAAGAGACCTTATCACCATCTTAAAATAAAAATGCAAAAAATGCTTACTTGCGGTGTTTTTTTTTGAATTCTATATAATGTTATGTAGCTGCTGGAGGAGGATCAAAGGGGAATACTACATAATGTCACTTGAGTGACACATGAGCCTGCTGGGGCTGACATTACAGCCAAGATTGTGGCGTCCAGAAGCAGAGCAGATTGGATGTCTGTACAAGGGAGGTTTGCACATACTGTACACTCACCAGTCATTTTATTAGGTACACCTTGTTAGTACCAAGAAAATCTCCCCCACACCATTACACCACCACCACCAGCCGGAACCGTTGATACAAGACAGGATGGATCCATGCTTTCATGTTATTTATGCCAAATTCTGACCCGACCATCTGAATGTCGCAGCAACCAGTCTGCCCAGTCTCCTCTGACCTCTGACATCAACAAGGCTTTTTCTTCCACACAACTGCCGCTCCCTGGATATTTTTTCTTTTTCTGACCATTCTCTGTAAACCCTAGAGATGGTTGTGCATGAAAATCCCAGAAGATCAGCAGTTATTGAAATACTCAGACTAGCCTGGCACCAACAACCATGCCACATTCAAAATCACTTAAATCCCCTTTCTTCCCCATTCTGATGCTTGGTTTGAACTTCAAAAAGTCGTCTTCACCATGTCTACATGCTCAAATGCATTGAGTTGCTGCCATGTGATTGGCTAATTAGCAATTTGTGTTACGAAGCAATTGGACAGGTGCTAATAAAGTGTCCGGTGAGTGTATATGCACATATAATCTTATGAGAAGTTTTTTCATTGAAATGAATTATCTAGCAAGAGGGAAGAGGGTCTCTGATTTACTAACTTTAAGTAACTCGAGTTTCACACAACCTAATTGCAATAACAACTTGAGTTATGCACTTCCTAAGCGCACTATACTTTCCAATAAAGTTTTCTTTGCTCTGCATTTTTCCTTTCCCTAATAAAGGCTGCAGATTTTCACATTTGCCTTTTTAACTGATGAAACGTCCACATTTCCTTCTATAAAATAGCTTCTTCCCCCTCCAATCTATGCATTGTATCTGACATAAGTCTAACTTGTTCCTTCATCCTTTTACAGCCATGTCCAACATTCCTCTATCGGACTCAGTGGAGGCGGACTCCCTGGAGAAGGACGAGATGCAGTTGCTGAATGAGATCCTGAGCTCCTCATCTCTGGATGGTGGAGACCTCTCCAAAGAGTGGACAGAAGTATTTGGGGAGTCGCTGTATCCCAGTCAGCCCTTGAGTCTAACTAACCAGGAACTGGAGCCTAGAGCTGAACCACCATCTGGATTCCTACCTTCTCAACTATTAGACCAAAACTTGAGTAGTCTTCAGTCTTCATTATACGGTTGGTTTTACATAGCAGGGTGGATCTATTGTAGCCTTATCTTGTTGGTGCTTAAAGGAAAATTGTGAACAAAGTTTAGGGAGATGGAGGATATGGAAGGTGCTCTACTGACGAGTTGATTTTTTTTTTTTTTTTTAAAGTGTCATCTTCTGTTGCCTTTTGTCTGTTTTCCTCAATATTGTTTACCTTTGACCATGGCAGAGCTTCTACGTAATCATGTTGGGCATAAGATGTGGTCAGCTGTCATTAATCAATAGCATAACTGTGATACCTGAGCCTTCCCAATCCAATGCTCCTATAACCACCCTATACACACTGCATGGGCTTATTTAGTAGTTAGATTCAAATAGCCTAACCACTGCAAAAATGTTCCTGATTATTAATGAAGATAGTTGAAAGGGTTGCAAATATTGGGAGATTATAATTACTGTCCATGTCTCTGCTTGGGACCTCCTATACTGGAGACACAATCGGAAGTAAGAGAACTCTATGCAAAATGAGTGGAAATTCCACCTTTGCCACAACTAAATGATCAATTGTGTACCTCAAATCCAAGATCTAGTACTTTATTCTCAAAAAAGTTTTTAACAAAAAAAAAAACACAAATATGTTACAAGTGAGCTGCTGGTGTGTATACTTGAAATTATATTACAAAAATGGGTACAAACCTGACTCAGGCTCAGTCTCTTCTCTCAAAATGTAAACCCATCCAAGACCACTAACATCTCTCGTGAGACCCAGGACACAGCTCGACATTATATATAAAATCATATGTTTGTTTATGTATCGGCAAAAATTGCTTTATAAGTGTGCATTGTGCTTCCTTTTCTTCGGGACTATAGAGTGCATAGTAACACCAAAATTGGTCTATCTGCTGAGGTCTAAAACCCCTGCGCAGTCAGACCTAATGCTCTGCACCCAACAGAACTCCCTGCTGATTGAAGATAGCAGGATGGACCTCTGCAGAAAGAGAACTGTTCCCACACAGAATGCAGAGGTCCTTCTCTACAGCATACAGGAAGGGGACAGACTTTTCTACACAGGCTGTTTTCTAAGGAAAATGAACTGTAAGGGCCCATTTACACTACTGTGTTGTATTGCACACATACATGGGTTTGGGTCGCCAATAATTTTTAATGGCACCCCAACACACTAAGGCAATGCACATTTGTTGCCATGCGGCATAATGCATGGCAACCTAACTTAATGGGTTTTGGCACTTTGCATTGTGGCATGTCCAGTTTTTGTAAAATTGTGGTGCATTGGCAGCTCCTTCAAGTCACAGGGCTGACAATGTCAAAGCACATTAACCCCTCGCCTACAGGGCACTTATACCCCCTTCCTGCCCAGGCCAATTTCCAGCTTTCAGCGCTGTTGCACTTTGAATGACAATTGCGCGGTCATGCAACACTGTACCCATATTAAATTTTTATCATTTTTTTGTGACAGATAGAGATTTATTTTGGTGGTATTTATTCACCTCTGGGTTTTTTATTTTTTCTTAAACCAAAAACCACTGAAAATTTTGAAAAAAAAAATTTTTTCTTAGTTTTTGTTATAAAATTTTGTAAATAATTGATTTTTCTCCTTCACTGATGTGCGCTAATGAGGCGGCACTGATGGGCACTTATAGGCTGCACTAATGGACGCTGATAGGTGGCACTGATGAGGAGGCACTGGTAAGTGGCACTGATGGGCACTGAAAGGCAGCACTCCTATATTGCACTGATAGGTGGCACTGACTGGCACTGTTAGGCGGCACTGACTGGCAATGTTAGGTGGCACTGATGCACACTGATAGGTGGCACCGATAGGTGGCACTGACTGGCACTGATGGGTGGCACTGACTGGCACTGATGGGTGGCACTGAAAGGCAGCTCAGATGGGCACTATGTGGCATTGACGTGGCACTGATGGGCACTGGCAGGTGGCATGGATGAGCACTGATGGATACTGACAGGTGGCACTGCTGGGGCTACACAGATCATCAGGGCACACTGATCATCAGTGCTCTAATGATCTGTGTACATGTCCCCTCCGAGGAATGCCGATTACCAGCTCTCCTCTCCTCTGTCAGCGTGACAGCTCGTGGGGAGAGAAATGCCGATAACCGGCATTTCCCTGTTTACATGTGATCAGCTGTGATTGGACACAGCTGATCAAATGACCGAGCCGACCTCTTCGGCTCTTTCCGTTGATCGGTGATCCGCTGTGTCCGAGGGACACAGTGCACCACCGATCGCCACGCTGTGCGCTCCCAGAGCCACGCATGCGCGGTTAGAATGGGAGGACGTCACATGACATCCTCCCAGAACGAGAGAACCGCCTTGCGTCCGTCATTTTACTATATAGCGGGCGGGAGGAGATTAAAGTGATACTAAAGGTACAATTTTTATTTTATATAACAAACATTTTATACTTTCCTGCTTTGTGTAATGGTTTTGCACAGAGCAGTTCCGCTCCCCTCTTCTCGGGTCCCCCTCTGGCACTTCTGGCTCCTCCTCTTCTTGGTGTGCCACCATGGGAAGCCGCTTCCATTGACAGTGTGGTTCAGCCCCACCGCCCGCTCCCTTGTCACGGGATTTGGTTGACAGCAGCAGAAGCCAATGGCTCCCATTGCTCTCACAGAGTCCAGTGAGGAAGGAGAGAGCAGAGAGAGCCTCTGCTCTTGTGCACAGTGCTGGATCGGGATCAGGCTCAGGTAAGTATATGGGGGGGGGAGGCTGGGGAGCTGCACACAGAAGATTTTTTACCCGAACGTATAGAATGCATTAAGGTAAAAAGGCCTTCTACCTTTTAGATGTATTTTAAGTGTACGATCTACCGGAACTCCCAGATCCTTTTCAGTCATTGACTCCCCCAGCTGTTCTCTTCCTAGAATGTACAGTACATGCTTGTTTATAGACCCCAAGTGTATAACTTTACATTATCAACATTACACCTCATTTGCCATGTAGTTTTCCAACTAAACAGTGCGTTGTATCGAACGCTTAGCAAAGTCCAAGTATACTATGTCCACTGCCACTCTTTTTTTAGGGGAAGGCAGTGTGCCATAGTGATGGCTATAAATATAGGATAGAAGATCTATTCATTCCAAACTGAGAAGAGGGTGTTTTTGTTACTATCATGTTTTCATTTTTAGCAATGAGGAAGAGAAGAACTCTTTTTTTTTTTTTTTTTTTTTTTAATAGCTGTCCCCATTTGGGTATACGGTTTAATTACTGTGGGAAAAGCATTGAAGCAGACAGCAATAGAACCTGACAAGAGTTTCCAACCCTTCCACGCTCCTGTACAAAACTTTAAAAAAAAACTTGATCATCTTACCTACACTGTTCAGCATAATGTTCCTTTAAAACTACAGGTGCACTTTAAGTCACCAGCCCACATATATATAATATTTCAATATTCATTCTTAATATGTAAGAGGCTATGTAATATAGTGTAATAACATATATGTAATATGTACAAAAAGTAAAGCAAAAGTGGGCATAACTTTTTTTATTTACTTACACAGGTTGTCCAACTTTTACCTGTTGGTAGAATAACTCTTCCTCTATAATAACTTCTCTTCTTTTTCATTCCAACATCCATAGAAGGCTACAGAATGTTCACGGAGATGACACCATTGGCAAGAATCACCAATGACCAGACATTCCTCTTGTCAATGATGTCCTCTCCATAAACATTCTGGAGCCATCTGTGGATGTCAGACAGCCTGCATCCCTTCTTCGTCAAGAAATAAATGACGGCACATTGAGTGCTACATAGTTAGTCTAACTGAAAAAAGACAAAATTACATCCAGTTCAACCATAAAAAAAATGTTATAATCCTATACACACAGTTGATCTAGAGGAAGGCAAAAAAAAATCCAGCAAAGCATGATCCAATTTGCTCTTACAGGGGAAAAAAGTTCCTTCCTGACCCCCCAAGAGGCAATCGGATATTTCCTGGATCAACTTTAGCTATAAATGTTATATCCAGTTATATTCTGTGTATCCAAGAAAGAATCCAGGACTTTTTTGAAGCAATCCACTGAGCTGGCCAGAAGCAAGTCTTGAGGGAGTCTATTCCACATTTTCACAGCTCTCACTGTGAAGAAACCTTTTCGTGTTTGGAGATTACATTTCTTTTCCTCCAGATGTAAAGAGTGCCCCCTTGTCCTCTGTGATGATCTTAGGGTGAATAGCTATACACCGAGTTCACTATATGAACCACTGATGTATTATACATGGAGATCATATCCCCCCTTATGTATTATACATGGAGATCATATCCCCCCTATGTATTATACATGGAGATCATATCCCCCTTATGTATTATACATGGAGATCATATCCCCCTTATGTATTATACATGGAGATCATATCCCCCCTTTGTATTACACATGGAGATCATATCCCCCCTTATGTATTATACATGGAGATCATATCCCCCTTATGTATTATACATGGAGATCATATCCCCCCTTATGTATTATACATGGAGATCATATCCCCCTTATGTATTATACATGGAGATCATATCCCCCTTGTGTATTATACATGGAGATCATATCCCCCCTTATGTATTATACATGGAGATCATATCCCCCCCTTATGTATTATACATGGAGATCATATCCCCCCTTATGTATTATACATGGAGATCATATCCCCTCTTATGTATTATACATGGAGATCATATCCCCCTTATGTATTATACATGGAGATCATGTCCCCCTTATGTATTATACATGGTGATCATATCCCCCCTTATGTATTATACATGGAGATCATATCCCCCCCTATGTATTATACATGGAGATCATATCCCCTCTTATGAATTATACATGTTGATCATATCCCCCCTTATGTATTATACATGGAGATCATATCCCCCCTTGTGTATTATACATGGAGATCATATCCCCCTTATGTATTATACATGGAGATCATATCCCCCCTTGTGTATTATACATGGAGATCATATCCCCCCTATGTATTATACATGGTGATCATATCCCCCCTTATGTAGTATACGTGGCGATCATATCCCCCCCTTATGTATATACGTGGCGATCATATCCCCCCCTTATGTAGTATACGTGGCGATCATATCCCCCCTTATGTATTGAGTGAGAATACATTCAGTTCCTCTAATCTTTCCTCATAGCTGAGCTCCTCCATGCCTCTTATCAGTTTGGTTGTCCTTCTCTGGACTTTCTCTCAGTTCCCCAATGTTATTTTTGTGAATTGGTGCCAAAAACTGAACTGCATATTCCAGATGAGGTCTTACTAATGATTTGTACTGGGGGAAATTATATCTCTCTCTCTGGAGTCTAAATACAAGAGAAGATTTTGCTTGCTTTAGAACCCGCAGCTTGGCATTGCATGCCTTTATTAGGCTTCTGCTTGGAATCCATTATTTATCTGCAATGAAAAAGAGTTACTGTATAGGAACAGTTGCTCTACCAACATGTGAAATTTGAATGACTTACATAAGTTAATAGAAAAGTTATGCACACTTTTGCTTTACATTTGGTATGGAACTCGTATGATATATTTCTCAGATACTTTATTGGCAAGATCTCCTTAAGAGCAATTCCCCGTTCTGCCAGCTGACGGCTCTCACAGAGCTACAGAGAGGAACTTGATACATCTACTATATTTTTAAGCATGTAACATAAACTATCGAAAATTGTTTCCATCCATTAAAGAGTTGAAGTGGAGAACAATGTAAGAATACAGGACCTCCTTGAGTGCCTATATGAGAATGCAGCATAGTATTGTTGAATACTACCATGTCCATACCCGCACCTGTCCGTGTCATAATATGTCACGGCGTAAAGACATGCAGCTGGTCATTCATGACACACCACCTTTAGAACCCACTGCTCCTTCACACCCACCAGATCAGTCTGTCCTTGGAAGGATTGAGCTCTGTGAACTATCAGTGGGCAGGGGGGCCCTCAGTCTAGGGAAGAGGTTGTAATGTTACAATGGAGGATGCTGACACAGGTGATGATTATTCTCTTGGGTTTGACTTGGTTGTTTCTGCTTGTTTGGAGTATTTTCTGGGGGAGGTATTACGGTGCCTTGAAAAAGTATTCGTACCCCTTGATGTTTTCTACATTTTGTTATGTTACAACCAAAAACGTAAATGTATTTTATTGGGGTTTTATGTGGTAGACCAACATGGAGTGGCACATAATTGTGAAGTGGAAGGAAAATGAGATATGTTTTTCAAAACTTTTTACAAATAAATATCTAAAAATGTGTGGCGCGCATTTGTATTCAGCGCCCCGGAAACAATACTTTCTAGAACCACCTTTCGCTGCAATCACAGCTCTGCACATCTAGAGAGGGACATTTTTGTCCATTCTTTTCTGCAGAATAGCTCAAGTTCTGTTAGATTGGATGGAAAGCGTCTGGGAACAGCAATTTTCAAGTCTGGCCACAGATTCTGCATTGGATTTAGGTCTGGACTGTGACTGGGCCATTCTAACACATGAATATGCTTTGATCTAAACCATTCCATTGTAGCTCTGGCTGGATGTTTAGGGTTGTTGTCCTGCTGGAAGGTGAACCTCCACCCCAGTCCTCAAAGCTTTTGCAGACCCTAACAGGTTTTCTTCTAAGATTACTCTGTATTTGGCTCCATCCATTTTCCAGTCAACTCTGACCCGCTTCCTTGTCCCTGCTGAAGAAAAGCATCCCCACAACATGATGCTGCCACCGCCATGTTTCACGGTGGGGATGGTGTGTTTAGGGTGATGTGCATTGTTAGTTTTCCGCCACACATAGCGTTTTGCTTTTAGGCCAAAAAGTTCCATTTTGGTCTCATCTGACCAGAGCCCCTTCTTCCACATGTTTGCTGTGTCCCCCACATGGCTTTTCGCAAACTGAAACGGGACTTCTTATGGCTTTCTTCCAACAATTGCTTTCTTCTTGCCACTCTTCCATAAAGGCCAGATTTGTGGAGTGCAAAACTAACAGTTGTCCTGTGGACAGATTCTCCCACCTGAGCTGTGGATCTCTGCAGCTCCTCCAGACTCTCCATGGGCCTCTTGGCTGCTTCTCTGATGAATGCTCTCCTTGCCCGGCCTGTCAGTTTAGGTGGACAGCCATGTTTTGGTAGGTTTGCAGTTGTGCCATACTCTTTTCATTTTCGGATGATGGATTGAACAGTGCTCTGTAGGATGTTATTTTTTTATAACCTAACCCTGCTTTAAAACCTCTCCACACCTTTATCCCTGACCTGTCTGGTGTGTTCCTTGACCTTCAGGATGCTATGTGTTCACTAATGTTCTCTAACAAACCTCTGAGGGCTTCACAGAAAAGCTGTATGTATACTGAGATTAAATTACACACAGGGGGACTCTATTTACTATTTAGGTGACTTCTGAAGGCAAATGGTTCCTCTAGATTTTAGTTAGAGGTATCAGAGTAAAGGAGGCTGAATACAAATACATGCCACACTTTTCAGATATTTGTAAAAAAAAAATTGAAAACCATTTATTATTTTCTTTCCACTTCACAATTATGTGCCAATTTGTGTTGGTCGATCATATAAAATCCCAATAAAATGAATTTACGTTTTTGGTTTAACATGACAAAATGTGGAAAATTTCAGGGGGTGTGAATACTTTTTCAAGGCACTGGATGTGGTGTTCCTAGTGGGCAGGCAGCTAGCTGTACTGTGAGTGTTGGTCAGTATTCAGGGGAGTGTCCAGGTATTCATCCTGAAGGGGAGTATTTTTTTGGTTTTATGATCAAATGTTATTTGGTAATCAGGAGGGATGTTATTTGGTTTTCTGCACCAGAAATTTCAGCACACAAAAGTGAAACAATCGCTTTTATTGTAAGTGTTATACACTGGTCCTGTCCAATTAGACTTATCAAAGCCAAAACATTCATTCTTTATGGACGCTTGACTATAACTCTCAGGCAACACTGTTAAGGAAATATTTACTATAAGAAATGGATGGATGGAAGAGGAAAAGAATGGAAAGGTGAAGAGGAGAGGAGGGAACAGGAGAGAGGTTGTTTGGGCATAAAGGCTTGTGAGAAGAGGGGATGTGCTCATTCTCATGATAACCAGAATTTTGGGTGGTGGTAGAAGAGGCAAGATGACAAGCTGAGCTAAGGCAAGTTATGCCACCATCTATTCAAGACATTTACTTGTGGGCAGGGCAAGTTTACCTTACGGGGCAGCATAGTCACTTTCTATATTTCTTTATTTCAGACTGGACAGCATTCGGTGGGGCCTCATCTTCAACACCATTATCCTCAGCCTCTACATCCACAAACCTCAATCAAAATAGTAACGGAACCTCACAGAAAGGTGAGAACTGAGAGGAATTCGGTCTGTATTGTTCTATTGGCTGTGATTCCAGCAGTCTACCGTATGGTTGTCTTTCTATGGAGGATTTCCAGAAGCAATGAGCATATTAGGCCTCCTTAGCGGTGGGGGCATTCTACTGTGTCAAAACCAATGGGCCATTCATGAAGTGAGTGGAGAATTCCTACTTGCATCTCAGAAGACCACAGTGGTACTTTAGAGGGCACCTTCAGAAAGTAACCCATGTTCCTTTTGCAGCACTCAATGGGCTCTTTAAGTCAGAATGTAAGAATAGGCAACCCCTATAGACACAAACTGACCTATTGGTGTTGGCATCATCCAAGTGTTTTGCTTTGAATCTTTTAAGGTTCTTTGCAGTAAAAGCAAGGAAGCATAAAAACTTCAGTAGTGTAATAATTATTGCTTTACTAAACAAAAATGCTGTGCACACACAAACTAAGTACAATTATCCTTCCTAGCAAATGAGCATGGACAATGTATGCAAATACACTAAACATCTACTTAACTTTTTTATTGGTGATAAAGTCTTCTTCCAGACTGCTCCTTGTTTCTCAGAGTTCTCCAGAACTACTAGTGCTTCCTCTGTTCAGCACATGGCTCTGTCCAAGTCCTTTTTTCCCCGTCCCCCTATTGTAGCATCACTTGCTGTCCTAAGCTTCATGAACCAGTCCAACAAATTAATTAGCATGTGAATAGGGGAAGCCTACCTTCTACATACATACATATATATATATATATATATATATATATATATATATACACATATATATCAGGGGCGGACTGACAACTCACGGGGCCCCCGGGCAATAGGGGATCATGGGGCCCCTGTGTCCTTGCCAAAACTCAGAAAAGCCTATGAAAAAGGTACCAGGGGCATCTCATGGGGCCCCCTACTTACCCCGGGCCCTCGGGCAGTGTCCGAGTTTCCAAATGGTCAGTCCGCCCCTGATATATACATATATATATGTATATATATATATATATATATATATATATATATATATACATATATATGTGTCATTTTAGGTTTTGCTTATTGTTCCACTTTGATTAATATATCCATTTGTTTTGCAGATACATCTAAAAGCACAAAAGACTTGTCCACTTGGTACAACCTCTTTGCAGATCTTGATCCCCTATCAAATCCCGATGCCGTTGGAAAAACGGACAAAGAACACGAACTACTGAATGCATAACAATTTCCTCTGTTGCTGCAGACAACCCTCTATCAACAAGCACCCCTGTCACTAGCAATTTAATCACCAGGGAAAGACCCCGTCCTGACATTTGTGCCACTCTTTTTTTTTTTCTTGCTATAAAGATTGATTTTTTTCCTCGTACAATAGGAGATGTGTGAAATTCCTTGGCTACGCCAAAATCTTCACTGGACTCACTAAAGAACTATTTTAAGGGAGATACTAGCAACCTATTTTTATATATGCCAATGTAACGATCAGAGGATGTAGACAACAAATATCTATTGTTTTGAATTTTTTTTTTTTTTCGTTCTTCTTTATTTTTGTGTAAGCTCTATAAGTCTTTCTGTTAAGAATAATTTATTTGGGTGGGAGCAAAATTCTTTATTGTTGCTAAGATACTCAGCATGAACTGCGATGATTCACCTTTTGTTTCACAGTCGAAGAGCAAGTGCAGAGTATATAGGCAAATTGCTTCCCCAGGAAGAAAAGAAAAAGATATATCATTGCTTATTTTTTGAGGAAACCATTTGACATTTTACCAATATGACAAAGTGCCTCAAATAGAGTGGCTTTTATTTAAGACATCCTATATACTTACTACTGCACTAAAATACTCTGCACTCGACCAGAAGATAAAGTATTAATTCCAGCAGTCCTCACAATGAGCATGCTTGCAATGTCATTAAAGGAATCAATAAAAAATACTTTGACTCAAAAAGTGCAATGCAGTGATCCTGGGATTTTATTTGCTTTCCCCTTATTTTTTACAGGACTTTTTTAATGTAATACATTGCCCTAGCAATGTAGATGTTGCTGTCACACACACCTTCAATCCAGTGCTTCTCCTGCAGAAGGTCACCTTTGTTCTGCTGTTGTTGCTGGCCTTTTGGGTTGCGTGACAGCTACAGTGCCTTGAAAAAGTATTCACACCCCTTGAAATTTTTCACATTTTGTCATGTCACAACAAAAAAAATACCGTATATACTCGAGTATAAGCCGACCCGAATATAAGCCGAGGTACCTAATTTTACCACAAAAAACTGGGAAAAACTATTGACTCGAGTATAAGCCGGTGGTGTCAGTGGAGGGAGGAATAGTGCCCCATCGTTGGTGTCAGTGGGGGGAGGAATAGTGCCCCATCGTTGGTGTCAAAGGGGGAGGAATAGTGCCCCATTGTTGGTGTCAGTGGGGGGAGGAATAGTGCTCCATCGTTGGTTTCAGTGGGGGGAGGAATAGTGCTGACCCCTGCTCCAGCCTGGGCTCGCTCGCTCCCTCCCTCTCCCATGGTACACACTTACCGGTCAGATGTCTTCCTTCTCCGGCCGCTCTCCTCCTCTCTTCACTCGCTCGATCTTCGCGGTGCCGCTCGGCTCCTCCTCTCCAAGCTCCACCTCCTCGCCGGTGATTGGGCGCCTGTGTGCCTCTCCTGAGCTACAGTTCTGGCGGCCAATCACCGGCGAGGATTGATCCCGGGGGTGTGTCCAGATGACAGGGACGGCATGTCATCCCGCCCACACCTGGAGACGTTGACTCGAGTATAAGCCGAGGGGGCCGTTTTTCAGCACAAAAAATGCGCTGAAAAACTCGGCTTATACTCGAGTATATACGGTAAATGTATTTTATTGGGATTTTATGTGATCGACCAACACAAAGTGGGCACATAATTGTGAAGTGGAAGGAAAATGAGAAATGGTTTACAAACTTTTTTACAAATAAATATTTGAAAAGTGTGGTGTGCATTTGTATTCAGCCCCCTTTACTCTGATACCCCTAACTAAAATCTATTGGAACCAATTGCCTTCAGAACTCACCTAATTAGTTAATAGTAAATGTATGTAATGTAATCTCAGTATAAATACAGCTATCCTGTGAAGCCCTCAGAGGTTTGTTAGAGAACATTAGTGAACAAACAGCATCATGAAGGTCAAGGAACACAGCAGACAAGTCAGGGATAAAGTTGTGGAGAATTTTAAAGCAGGGTTAGGTTTTAAAAAAAATATCCCAAGCTTTGAACATCTCATGGAGCACTGTTCAATCCATCATCCGAAAATGGAAAGAGTATGGCAAACCTACCAAAACATGGCCGTCCACCTAAACTGAGAGGCTGGGCAAGGAGCATTAATCAGAGAAGTAGCCAAGAGGTCCATGGGAACTCTGGAGGAGCTGCAGAGATCCACAGCTCAGGTGGGAGAATCTATCCACAGGACAACTATTAGTCGTGCACTCCACAAATCTGGCCTTTATGGAAGAGTGGCAAGAAGAAAGCCATTGTTGAAAGAAAGCCATAAGAAGTCCAGTTTGCGAGAAGCCATGTGTGGGACACAGCAAACATGTGGAAGAAGGGGCTCTGGTCAGATGAGACCAAAACGGAACTCTTTGGCCTAAAAGCAAAACATTGTGTGGCAGAAAACTAACACTGTACATCACCCTGAACACACCAACCTCACTGTGAAACATGGTGGTGGCAGCATCATGTTGTGGGGATGCTTTTCTTAAGCAAGGACAGGGAAGCTGGTCAGAGTTGATGGGAAGATTGATGGAGCCAAACACAGGGCAATCTTAAAAGAAAACCTGTGAGAGTCAGCAAAAGACTTGAGACCGGGGCGGAGGTTCACCTTCCAACAGGACAATGATACGAAACATCCAGCCAGAGCAATGGAATGGTTTAGATCAAAGCATATTCATGTGTTAGAATGGCCTTGTCAAAGTCCAGACCTAGACTCAATTGAGAATCTGTGGCAAGATTTGAAAATTGCTCTCCATTCGATCTGACAGAGCTTGAGCTATTTTGCAAAGAATGGGCAAAAATGTCCCTCTCTAGATGTGCAAGCCGGTAGAGACATCCCCAAAAATAATTGCAGCTGGATTTGCAGTGAAAGGTGATTCTACAAAGTATTCACTCCGGGGGACTGAATACAAATGCACAATATTTATTTGTAAAACATTTTGAAAACGATTTCTCATTTTCCTTCCATTTCACAATTATGTGCCACTTTGTGTTGGTCTATCACATCATATCCCAATAAAAATACATTTATGTTTTTGGTTGTAACATGACAAAATGTGGACGATTTTGAGGGGGTATGAATACTTTTTAAAGGCATTGTAGTGCCATTCAGCCCATTAATGATGAGCCCAGGCTGTCATGGACCTGCCCCTTTGGGGTGTGTTAGCACTCTGAGCCCAGGCTGTCATGGATCCTGCCCTCTTTGGGGTGTGTTATCTCAGTGGATTGTGCTTAAAGTACTCCGGAACTGATTGGTGGTCACTAAGTCCAGGATGAAGCCAAACACAGCCAGTGGTGGAGGAGAAGCACTCGTGGCAGCACCAGACTGGCTAGTAAAGCATTTTAACAGTACATTAAAGTAGAAGTCTGGGCTAAACCTATCTAATCTGCTCGAACCCCCATTCTAAGTTCTGTACTAAATAGCCTAAAGAGGAAAGATGTCTATGTTTCCCTATTCTGAGGGTGCTCCAGTCCAGTCACATGATTAGCTCCCAGAAGCCGACTTCAGGGGAGAGGAGAAACAGCCGACAACAGATGCCCCATAATAAGTCTTTGGGTGACATCACCGCCCAGGCATTTCAGCCGGTATTTAAGGATCTCTCCGCTCCACCAAAGCCAGCTACTGGGGAGCTCATGTGACCAGACCAAAGTACCCTGAGAATAGGTAACTATAGACACCTTTCCTCTAAAGCCTAGTTAGTATAGGACTTAGAATGAGGGTGGGAACAGCTTTAAGATTAGCTAGGTTTAGACCAGACTTCTATTTAAAGGCCTCTTTCATACAGGCAGAAAAAAGTTATGTTTGTAGCCATGTATCATTTTTTTTTAATCTAAGCAAGGGTGCATTGCTGTCTATGTAACAATGCACACAGATGCATAAATATCCAAAATGCAGCAATGAGCTCAGAAAAAAAATAGAACATTTTACATTTGAGTGCAGTAATTTAGAGTGGTTGTAAATGTACATATATCCAGTGAAATGACTGGCCACAGGTGACACACATCCTCCTACAAAATAGATGAAACACATCCTCCTACAAAAGTTGTACCTGTTTATCTGCAGTATTCTCTACATTTGTTCAAAGTACAAAATGTATAAAGTGTGTCTGACCTTGCAGAAAGCAGGGGGCTGAGAGCTGAAGTTCAGAGCTTAGTGTGAGCTGATTGGAGGGAAGAGACACACCATACTTCACACAGCTCACAGGAACAGAGCTGAGGCTATCAATCACAGCTCCCTCCCCTGTCACCATTGTACCTCTTGGTATCTGGTAGACTTGTCAGAAGTGACTCCTGCAGATAGTAGAAGGTTGAAGCAACAGACAGAAATGAGGCAACAGACAATAGAGGCAGCCCTCAAAATTTCCACTCGCCCGCTCGCATTGGGCGAGTGGAAATTACGTGGGGGCGAGCAGAGTCGGGACTAGGAGTGTGTGGGAGGGACAGCAGTGGGGGCAGTTCCAAGCAGCGATATCACTGTATGGCTTTCAATGAAGCAGCTGAAAGTTGCAGGAGGGAGAGGAGGAGAAACGGCTTCCAGCTGCTTCATTGAAAGCCATACAGGGAGATCGCTGCTTGTAACTGCCCCCACCACTGCACCGTTCATTCCGATCCTTAAATTTCTTTCCAGGCTGCCCCTGTGTGCTCCTCAGACCTCCCCCTATCCTCCGCACTGCTCTTCCTCCCCTGTGCCTACCCACACTCCAGTCCATGCAGCTTCTCAAAGGAGGATGTGTGGGCAGGAAATATTATACAGAGCAGCCAGCAGCTCCGTGATGACAGAGCAATGTGAGTCTGACCTTCTTTCCCTTCTCTCCCCTTCCCTCCTTTCTTCTTCCCTTCCTTCTTTCCCTTCCCTCCTTCCCCTCCCTTCACTCCTTCCCCTTCCTTCCTCTCTCCTTCCTTTCTTCTTTTCTTTCCTCCTCCCCTCCCTTCCTTCCCCCCTCCTTCCTTCCTTTCCTCCCTTCCCTTCCCTTCCTTCAATCCTTTCTTC